CGAAATTGCGCGTTAATAATACACTCCACACGTCTAATCCGCTCTATTTGCTACCGATAGTAGAGCTACCGATAGTAGAACTACGATAAAATATCGCGATATTCGAGATCAACACTACAAAAGGACAAACAAAACGTTCTGCAACAATATAGAAGCCATATTATAATTATAACAATACAACAATGTAAATACAGTAAAAAGATATAAGACATATTGATAGTGATTTATATTCCGATTAAATGTCTTATATGCAAACATTAAATTAATTAAAATCTAAACGTAATGTTTTACATTATTAATTGTTTATTAAAATTACGTAAGGTTTTTTTACTTTCTTAAACTTGCAACGGAATCGAATATATTTATTTATTATTTGTTTAATCATTTTGAAGAAGGTTAATTGAGATTCAAAGATTTTTCTCCCTTGGTCCGAAAAGTGTAGGAACCCGATTATTTTTACATGCAGGCGCATCCTTATCTGATGCAGATGTCCTGGATAATCAACGTGACAGTACATTTACCGCACGTTGCGGCACACTCCTGTCGTGTTCTGAAAGCAAATTGCGGATCTTTCCAGCGCATGCCTTGCGCCGATCGCCAAGACCGAGGGATTACATCTCGTCGCAGGAGTCTGTAATTATTTTGTCGGAGTTCCTGCGCGTGTCAGCGCTCGGTCGGCCGTTGTCCTCTTCGCGCGAAGTCCGTCCGCGATCGTTGTCGCACGAGCCATAATCGTTGACTCTCACTTTGTCCTTTGTGCACGTAATGTATAATATGTATCTTGCGAAAAATTATACTTTGCACAAGTTGCAAATGTTACGAGAAGAATTTCTTTTCCGGTGTACGTAAAGAATTGCGAACACGAATTTACAATATACGCGTAGCAAAATATAATATAGTATTGTATAACATTATATTGCAGTAACTGGATGCAAATTTGTACCTTATTTTTATTATGTAGGTAATTAATTAGAAAAGATAATTTTTTTTATATAATTTTATTAGATACAAATACATATTCCTTTTTTATGTTATTTGCTATCTATAAAAAATTGTATGATGAGTCAATAATTGTGAAAAAAATCATGCATTTGAAACTGATTAAAAAATAATAATTATTACATATTTTTTTATTGTCATAATTTATTGTTAATTCTAAATATATATAATATTTATTGATGAATCTCACGGCGGCAAAATGTAAAGAAAGTTTAACGGTGACGAGAGACTGGGAGGAAGTACTATAACAAGGCGAGACATTCGCGACGTATTGACATCTACGGAGATATTAATATTTATGGGCTCTACCAGCCGCCAAAAAGAAAGAGACGCGGGAACTCGCGACAGAGTAAATGCACCTGCATTACGCGTGTGCGTGCGTATGCACGCATACGCGCGCGTGCACGCGGGACAAAGCCTCATTCGCGGCCGCGGATGTCGTTTTATAGAAGAGGGAGGAAACTTCCTTCGAGCAGTACACGCGTGACGTGCAACTTTTATTTGGCTTTAATGACTGTCGTTTTGCATTCCCTTTCTCCCTTTCTCTGAATCCTTTTATTTTCTCATGAAGTATTCAGTATTATATTGATTTCCATGAATTCTAGAAATCAGTAGATTACAAAATTTTATAAAATTTCCCGGAAACGAGTTTCTCGCTCATCCGCGAAATCTCGTATAGATCGCTCAGCTCGGTCTATATCCCGGAAGCTGCGTTCACAAGAGGTTGCTACAAACTACTCGTAATAAAGTTGAGTGTAAAACGAGAAACTATAAAGGCAAAACGAGTTATGTTGAGATGGAGAGTGAAGCAAGAGAAAAGAGAAAAGAGAGAAGAGAGGAAAGAAAGAGGATTTAATAACTGCTAATTATCCGGACGGCAAAAGGTTTGGTGATGACTGGACTTTTCTAAATTGAATTTGCGATTTTTCGCGCGGGCTGTATGATTCTTTGCTCCATATACATATACTTAAATAAGAACAATTCTAATTCGACTCGTGGAAATATTTAATGGAGTTTGTAGAACACTTGTTCTCTTGACTCGAGATGTGATTTAATATCTATAAATGTAATAATTAAAGTGCTAACTTTAAAGCGCGCACGTTAAAAAAGAGTATATCTTTGCTGATAATTTCTACTTCGCTCTCTTTTCACGCGTTCTGGTTTCACATGGCACGGTCGGCCTCGCAATAACGATCACGAAGTGTTCTCTTTTGCCCGTGGTTCCCGAGCCGTGTCGACCTCGACGGCCGTTTCCCGACGGAGGAGAGTTGTATATCATCCGCAGAACGTTTTGCGTTCGCCCCAGAGTATCCTTCCGCCGCAATGTTAATTGAATCGCGCGCTTTCGAATGGAAGTGAATAACGTAATGGATCGCTTTTCCGGTCCACGTTATTTCTATCGGAAGTACCGGAACGAATTGAAAAATCTTTCTATCGTAAAAAAAAATAATTTAAGAATCATTCAATAAGTGTATAAAAGAGATTTTATAAAAGACTTGACAAATTAGAAATTTACTCTCGCAAAACGTCATTTCTTTCGTGTAATTTCTAATTCTAAGAAAATTTTATTTCATTACTTTTAATTTTATTGATACAAGTCAGTATGAAAATTGGCGACTTGACAGAGTTGTTGAGAAAAAGTAAGATATTAATTCAAAGATATACAATTAAATATTGAATAACTTATTGTTAGTTATATATCAAAATTAAAGATTATATATATATAAATATATTTTATTACAAATGAAATTTATTTATAAAAAATTTATTATTTAAGATGAATAAATCCAATTTTGCTTTTTTTGTAAAATATGTGATAAAAATAGTTTTATATTTGTAATTAAACAGCAAATAATTACACGAGAAACGATTTCAATTTGGAAAATCAGTTTTTCTTTGCATACTCTCGTAAAAGCGTTTATTGGCAATTTTGCGCGCTGTCATATCCATCATCCTGTTGCTGCTTCTCGTTCGCGAGCCTATAAGCGTTGTAAATCGCTCGTAATGCCCGTCGTTACATTACGCTACGCGCCTACGAGCCGCGTTAACGACCGAAAAAGCGAGTGACGGCCTCATGCTAATCGACGACAAGATGAACTTTGATTATGTGACGAGCGAAACGGTGTTTCGAATTGTACGTGGCGTGTTAATAAGTAAATTTAGACGAATACTAATGGACTTTATGCTAATCAATTAAACACCGACAAAATAGACATTTGGAATTTGTTTGTCCAAATTTTTTTTACTATATCCATGTAACGCAGTTTTATCTTTCTCTATTTTTCTTTTGAAAAATTAAATTAAATTAAAAATTTAAATCGAAATATTTCATTTAAAATAAATGTTATTTTAATAATATTTTCTACAAGTAAAGTGTATAATTTTAGATATTTATTAATTAAAATACTTATTTTTCTTATAACCTTTTTATTACGATAAACGCTATAAACTTTATAACTAAAAATACATGTAGAGAACGCAATCTATAATTAACAACTAATTATCCGCATAGATAACATCGAGGCTTTAATTCACGAGCATTGTGGAAGTATTAATTATTTGATTAACATTTCTTCGAAATGTAGCTTTCTAATTACAGTTCTCTCTCTCTCTCTCTCTCTCTCTCTCTCTCTCTCTCTCTCCCTCAATTTTTATTCTACAAAATAATTTAATTAATCTCCGATGAATTTATTCTGAAATCGATCGTTTAATTCGAATGATAACATCTGGTATCGCTCTCGCATCTTTTTCTTACCAGACGGTCTTAATTATTATCACAAGAGATGCGCATTTTCAGATGCTGCCAGAAGACTCTTTATCGCGCCGCATTCGTCATTCGCTGATAATTCAATACGCTCTGGATAATTCCGGGTCGATTTAGGTCAGCGGTTCTTATTATAGCATTCAACTTAAGCGAGAATCCATTAATCTATCCAGTACAGAATTATTATAATTCTTTTAATTTTTTCTTTGCTACTTTCATGGTCTGTATTTAGGTAAATTTAGATGATATAATTACAACGAATATAATTTGTGTGAATAAGTAATTCTTCTGTTCTATCAGAATAGTTATAGTCTCGAGATTGTTAGGCATAGCTTCAGAACGTTACATCATCGGGTTTCGAAACCCAAAAGCGTTATCAATGTTGATGTTATAACAGCTGCTGCTCTGTAACCGTATAATGTATACGATTTGTTTTAAACTATCAAGGAGATAACAACGCATTGTTAGTCAATCTATTTATTTATTTATCTTGTTATAAATTATCTTGTATTCTGAATTTTAGAAAACTCTAAAATTAAAAAATAGAATAAAAATGATACCATAATCGTAAAAAATATTATAAAAAGAGATTCATAATGTAATAATTATAAAAGTGATAATACATATATAATATTACATTTTATTATAATTTTAAATTATAACGAATATAATAACAGACAAGTATGACAAAGCAAATTTTTATTTCTTGCTCTCAGACTACTTTTTTTTAAAGTAACTTACAAAAAGAAATATAATTGTGAACGTATCAGAGGAATAAGCTCGCCAGTTGCATCGGTTCTTACATCGATACCCAGGCAACGATTCCGAAGCAAATAATGAATTATTCATGCAGAGATCCATGGCTGAAATCATGAGTAAAGGTCGTCGAATAAATGATCTGTGATAGAAGGGGACTGTGTGATTTTTGCTAACAGTGATGTGATCGATTAAACTTCATCGGAAGATGTGCTTCAAGATGCAAGATGTTGAAAATTCCATCGAAATCGTACATTTCAAAGAATAAACATATATACACGACAAACTCAAACATTTTTCTCCGATTTTAACATGAATTCAATTAAATTTAAGAACAATATGGCATACTATAAATTAAAAATAAAATTATATCTATAAAACAAATTTGAGATATAATATAAGAAATCAATATACAGCTACTTTCAAAATTAAAAAATAAGACATTATATCTACTTTGCCAGTATTGAAAAATAAAATACAAAAAAAATTTAATTTTCGATTTTTATTCAAATGAAAAAATGGAGTCTTAAAAATTAGAAAAAGAATATTTACGATATCTTTGACCGTTATCTTCTTTCGTTTCTTCAAGACGTGTTATCTCTTAAAATATGTATCATGTGAACCTTTGTCGGTTTTACATGTTAAAAAGAAGCTTGTAACGGCTCATTGAAAATGGACGTAAACGTATGTTCACGTCGCGTTCATGATGGCTATGCGACTATAAGATCGCGCGGCAGGCCGCGTGCCGTCTATCGTTCCGACTCCGAGGAACTGTTAAAGGAGGCAGGTGGCCCGTACGCTTTGCCGCGCCTCTCCAACTTCCGGGTGGTCCCGGAAGACGCGCGACAGGTGCCCAGATGGGCCGATCTTGGTCAGGATCAGCCACTGATCGAGAATTACGGTACTCTACGTGCCATCAAGTCGCGGGATTTTGAAGAGCCGCGCAAAGTAACACTGAAAACGTTCTCCCGACGGGACAGACATGGCAGCAATTCGAGAAACAGTGCTCCACAGGGCAATCTTCAGCGTTTGAGGGAAAATAATGATAAGAATTGTGAAATTACGCAAAAGAAAGATCATCAAGCTGATACCAATTTCTGCGGTCATTATGGATGGAAACCAGAAGACTGCGCTTGTTACGGCTGTAACGATCGGCGAATTTATGATACGGTACCAGTGGAAGATAATACAACTATTCTGAAACCCTGTGTCGTCGGCACGACTTCTCAGGAGAACAGTTTTATTAATATTAATAACAATCGACATGATGTATTTAGGAATTCCAAGGAGGATGTCGAGAATTTCAACAATCGCTCTGTAAAAGATTCGAGAAACAATTGTATTTTAAAAAATAAAGATAATCCTTACGTTGAAATGGAGAATGACAAACGAAAGAGCGCTAAAGATCTGGAAAATATAAAAAATGATCTTCTCAAGAATTCAAAGAGCACGTCCGTCTTCAATAATGACCTGGAGAAACGAAGATTTTCCAAAGACCAGCATCCCATCTATGCAGTTCCTCAAGTGTTCTCCAAGCCCAGACGCGAACGTCGATTGATCGTAATTGACGGAAACTACGTTCCTAGCGGTGATCTCTACCGTACTACGGCCAAATACATCGAAGACATCAACCGGAATCTTGCGGAGATCGATAAAAGTTACGAAGTGATGAAAGCGAGTCCTAGAACTTACGGAGTGATCAACAGAATCGCCAAAGGCGAATTGCTACCGCAAGATCAATCTGGAAATCTCTTTGGCTACGTGAGAAAGAGAAATATGGCACCCATGTTGCCCATTAGTGCCGATATAGAAGAAGTTGTTGAAGAAACGAATGAAAAGGAATTCAGGAAGGATACCAAGTATTTTCGCAGACCCAATTCCAAAGGTAGACTTCCGCCGAAAGTCTTACCGAGATCCTCATCCATTGAGAATACGTCCAGACACTCGACGGGATCCACCACCGCCTCATCAAGCAAATCTACTGAATCTTTATATGCAATCAGTGAATCTTTGACGGAATTACCGAAGATTTGCGATTTTCAGAAACAAAATTCACCCTCGAACAAAATTTCTCAGGAGCTGGTATTGAAAAAAAGCAACTCGCAAAATCAATCAAAGTTTAATATCGACAAGGATATCCCGAAAAGAAGCAAATCTGCAGGTTTGGAGATCAAAGATTCATCGTCCTCGACAGACGACGAAATTTCGATTCAGAAGGATCGATTGCCGGTCACCAGTGCGATTCGCAGGAATCGCTCTCGAGTCGACCAGGAGAAATCATTGCTGAGGAAAGAACGAGCTTCTAACGAGGTCCTGGAGACCTCGTTACTAGGCAAACTAGAGCACGTGCGGTCTATGGAGAATCGTTTAAAAGACCGTCGATACGACACATTGCCATCGAGAAGACCCAGAATCTCTTCGAGACCGCTTCACAAGTCCAGCGAGGACGTCCTTGATGGTGAAAGGTTTTCTCATGACGATTCTGATCTACAAAAATCTTGCTCAAATGATAATGATGTCAATCGGAAACAAATCGCCGATGAAAATCTCGCGGAAGCTCAACAAGGTTGTTTTTACATCGTGGACGCCACCGATGTGATTCTCAAAGGACAATTAGAGCGATCCAATCGCTTACAGCGGCAAGATCTCTTTCCCAGAACTAGACACAATTCTTTGGAATCTAAGGAAGCAGACGCCAAGGTTCAAGCTAGCGCTTTCGCTACTCTTCCGAGAAGAGGAAATCTCGCCAAGGATCAGCCCGATTCTCTTAGGAGATTCTCTGGGAACGGACCCACCTTGGAGCCTTTATACGAACATGCGGTTAGTGATCCTGTGAAACCACGAGAAATCCAAAATGTGATACCCTGGTGGGAGCTGGCCACCAGGAAGTACAGGCATCGCAGTTGTCCATCTTTACAGGTAAATTGGATATTATCAGTAGATCGCGTTAATTAGGAACAGAAATATCGAAATTGCGATCATATCTCACGACTTTAGGTCAGTGGTTCTTAATGCGAGAGCTACAATGATAATAATCATAATAGGTAAATATAAGTAAATAAGTAAAGAGTACACACAAAAACGCGTTGGGATAGATAAAAACTAGAGACATTGATTTATAAGAAACTATTAAGTTTTTATATAGTGAAGAAAATTATAATTTAAAATTTATAAAGCATTAACTGTTTAATTTATTCGATATATTTAATATATTTCAAATAAAATACAATAGAATAGATCGCATATATAACATTTTTCTATGATATATTTTGCGTTGCCTCAAACATCAGCGAAGTATGACTGTTTTACGAGGAATTAATTTAACTGAGCTAGTCATATTTGCAATAAACGGACGATTTTATGGGACTTACTTTGAGAACCATGCGGCAACTTTTTCGTCAATGCTGCAATGTCTGTACAATTAACCTCGCAATTAAGTTATATTATGCTATGAAAGGCTGATCATACCACGCACAAAAACTTATGTCCTTTTATCTTATATTAAATATTGCTGATTACTTTTATAAATATGTAATTGATTTATTTAATTTCTTTAAACGCATTAATATTTTATTGCATTAAATATTAATTATTAAGATAAAAATAATTAGAGAATATTGTTATTGAAATAAATGTTACTAGAGAATAGCATTAAAAAAAGTATTAATATTTATTATGAAAAAAAATTATGAAAAAGTAAAGAGGTAATACCTATATTATTCGTATGTTGCGTATGTGAATTGTCATTTAGATACATCAATCAGAGTGCATCGACTCCGAACGATTATGGTGATATATATAGATATGATTTATCCGCAGTAACCGTTGCGGGTAGTTAAAGCAATGAAATAATAAATTCGATAATGAGGTCTCACCGTCGAAATTGAGCTCGGCGCATTCCGTCAGTGCATGAAAGACGACGGCGACGCATAATAAAGCGTAGGTCGACAATCGTAGTCCCGATTGAATAATTATGCGCGCATACTTCGGCACTCTTTGTAATCGTGCCCTACCCTCGACGATGACAATGTGGTTGTATCGTCATTTGAAATCACACATATTACGTTTTACATTTTACGTAAGATCATTCATCCCAAATGTATTTCTGAAATAACTTGTATTTTAGTTTTAATTTTTACTTTCAATTTTTGCTTTCTTAAACAACACTTTTATATATTTATTTAAAAATTCTCTTCTTTTTTATTACGTTTAGATAATAAGAAATAATTAATAACTCGACTAATTTTAGAACCGCTTTACACGATTTGAATGACTCGTCAAAAATTCAGGCCCTTTTCTCATGTCTTTTTCTCTGTTGTCTATTGAGAACGAAGTGAAGAAAGGCAACCCACGATGATCGGAGGCCCCGCGAGGGCAATTGCACAATTGACTGGCATCAGAAACGATTGACCAATCGCGAATTTTATTCTCTACTATGTATTCTGTCTTCTTATGCAATCCACTCTTTCGCGATCTCGAAACTCTGCTGCCGCACTGATTAAAACATCAATTTTAATTACCGGCGCTTTGTACGATACTCCTCCTGCCTACTTTCTCCGAGTCGATTAGAATATGAAATTGGTCCTTGCAATATTAATTTCATCTATACAATACATTTTTTTTGCATACAAAATTTTATATAATTTTATTTTTAATTTATGTTGACGTTAATATTATGCTAATATTAATTTATCTTAATGTTTTTTCATATTTTAATTTAATTTACTTGTTTATATTTTATACAAAATTAGGATAATATATTAAAAATTTAATAATTTCATTCAAAACCTATTTCAAAATTATGAATTAAAAAAACCTGTTTAAGGATGAATCACTAGAAAGATAGAAGAAAGATTTTCTTTTGGAAAGACTCTCTAAAAGTTGAAAAGTCTCAAAAAGCAGGTACACTTCTGGCAAAGCAATTTTCGTAACCCTATTTTTTTTCTCTCGGGTGGGTCAACACATTCAAGAGAGGTTTAAACGCCACGTGGTAAAGGAATATAAAACTGTCACTGGGATTTGTGACAGAACGTTGTGTTATAAACAGCCTTGCCGGGATCACTGCTTCATCCGCTTCTAGGAGGGAGAAAGATTTATGCGTTTCGAGGGTGCACTTTCGGCCGGATATCGTATGTAAACATGCACCCTCTCGTATATACGTAGATATTCTCATTTTTGGAGTTCTCTAACAAAATTACGTTTTTTTTTCTCTCGTTTCTTCCTCTCATCACGATTAAAAACGCTAATCATAATATTACATGATGTGAAATTTAATATAATATATATATTTTTTATATTTTCCTTTTTATTCTTAAATTTAATAGTTACGAAGAGTATTCATTGTCTGATAAATAAAATGTAGCACTATTTATGAGATATACACACCTTGCTTTAAAGATGGTGTCTTATATAAAACAGTAATATTTGTGCAAAATATTATTAATAAAATAAAAAGAAAGATTGCAACCAAATATTGCTATTATTATAAGAAAAAAACTTTTTGTTAATTTTTTTCCTATTTTTATTATTATAGAAAAAAATATTACTAGCATAGAAGAATATCTTTCGCGAAATGTGACAAATTGCTTTTGAAATATAACGAAACACTAAAGAGAGTTATTTTTCTAAGAAAATGAAAATAAAAATAAAAATTAGAAAATAAATAAATAAAAGAACGAATTTTTATGGATCATTTATAATAATTATTAAATGTGATGTGACAAACATAAGTATTTTTAAGATAATAAAATATTTATAAAGATTAGTAGACTTGAAAAAAGATATGTGAAATGTGAGAGCGTAGTTTGAGACCTTGGCCCTGAAAATGTCCTTGCGGCCTTAATTATTAAGTATAATGTTAACCCTCACCCTCCTTTCTGCTCGAATAATTATATGGGGAAGTACATTGTGATGGGAACATTGAAGATAATGTAATGTTGTGAACACGGCGTAATCTTCGAAGCGTTACGACCCGAGCTAACTGGGCTAACAGTTCCCAGGCCGCAAAAGTGCGATACTGCGATATTCTTCTCGGTGAAATGCTATAGGATGTTGCAATATCGCTCGAAAAATTTGAGATGCAGATTCCACAGAATTACAAGGACCTGGGAGATATCGTTATATTTTTTCCATGCTTTGTATATTGAATTCTATGAAATCACTCTTAATTTAATCTCTTATACCACCTAAGTAGGTGAAAAATTAAACTAAATCCTATAAATTATCTCTTTATAAACTTATGATTCTAATAAATTTTTCGTAAAAAATTGCATATAAAAGTAATGGGAAAAAATTTTCCGGAAAATGATTGTTTTTTACAGATAATTTATTCGCAGTATATTTCTTTATATATATATATATATATATATATATATATATATAAAATTGAAAAATAAATAAATCTAATTAGTAATTAATTCATAATTATACTAGGAACATTTAAAGTGGACGTAAATCTGTAGCTGATATTCAATAAAATATAACTGACGTATAAAATTGATTTACTTAACTTAAAAACTATGTAACTGCAAGACCTTGTATGTCGCGTTAGCGATCTTCTAGGTCTTCTAGCTGTGATTTAAAGATTATAAGTAGATTATAATAGTATAGATTTATATTTATTTCGCGCACATAAAACGTGTACTCTTTATTTCGTAACTTTAAAACATTTACTAAATTTTTTTTTTAATTAACATCAAATTTTTACGGTTCTTTTAATATATTTTTTTTATATTACTTTATTACTTATCTTCTTTTTTATTTATCATTATTTTATTCACTATCTTATAGACAGCGATAAGACATTGGTAAACGTAATTGAAAGAGACGTTGAAGATTAAAATATCGGCCGAGCTATTCACTTACGACGTACCCTCGTCAAGATGCACCGGCGCTCACTTGGTGTTTTCCCTGTAGAACAAGGCGAGTCACTGTACGCCGCGCGCGATGCATTTTACTCCTCGGCACGTGCGTTTTTGCCGCAGGCTTCCGGTCCAGTTTTTAGCTTCGTCCGTCCTCGGCTTGGCCGACCCTTCGTTAGGCTCGATGCACAAGGCAAAACCGACACTTTTCCTCCGGTGAAAGGAAACTTTTCTCTGCAGTTATTATAAGAAGTTGATATCAGGAATATATTAATATGTAACAATAATTATAAATTAGACTCTCACCATCTTATATGAGTCTCATATAGTCATTATGTTTTTGTAATTTGTGTAGCATATAAATAATGCACCTGTATTTCTTAATTGTATTAATTCTTAATTTGAATTGATTCTTAATTTTATCTAATTTTAACTTGAGAGAGAAATTTGTTCTAATTTTTCATTAATTTTAAAATTAATTTAAACTTTTAGCATATTAATTTTAAAGAAACAAAAAATATAATTATGTCGTTAATATATATTCTTTGAGAAAAATTAGATTTATATATTTTAATGTTGGTTATATATCGCAATTGGTATATCAACTAACTCGCCTCGCCATAATTAAGCATCATCGGCAATTGCAGCTCAAAAAGTGCATCGGAGTCTCGACATATCGAACGTAATCTGACGTGAGACATGACTGAAATAAAGTACTCGAGGAAGGTGTACGGCCAAGTAAGGCGAGTAGGTGGGCCGTCGATTTTACGAGCGTACATCGTGTACATACTTCTCGGATGCACCTCGGCGGTAGGTGAAGCCGGGCACTTTAGCGGCGAGCATGGGAGCCAATATTTACAGCTCATACCGAGGTCCATACAAGTGGATCCACCGACCTCATTTGGCTTCAAGTACTTTTATCTTCTTTGAACAAACGCGCAGAAACAACACTGTGTTTCCTTCTAATTAAATGTCCTTCAAAAATTTTGAAGTCTATTTAAAAAAAAGACTCATATTTTTCAGTTACATAAAGTGTCTTCAAATTGTTTCCCAATTTATCTAGGAAAATTGCATGATCTTAATTTTTAATTTAATTTATTCTACATGTTTTGATTTTTGTGTCAATTTCGAAGAAATATGTTATATTCTGAAATTCACACACGTACATTTTAATTGGAGTACGATACATCTTACATATATTTAACACATTTAAACTGTCTATTTTTAAAGAAAGTTAATCAAGTACATAAATTTTACTTGAATTTAAACAGCTCTTTTATCAAAAGTATTAAAGGTCAACGTCCGAAGGAGAGACCTCATATCCCAGCTGCAGAATCACGTCGAGAGTCATTCTACGTTGCGCGTTAAAGTAATAAGGGAGGACAATGGGTCCCGAGACACCCGCTCGCGGCAGCGAATTACATGTCCCACGTTTGCTGTTACTGTTTTACGAGCGGTATAATTCCTCCGGAATTACGCGCGACTCTAGAATCGCACCCACACACGAACGGAATCCTCGGCTCCCACCGGTGCCTTTGTTCACGATCCTGACGAAACCTCACACTCATTCCTCCGCGAGGAAAAAGTCCCGCTGATTGTCCTCTTAGAATTTTATGATTGTATATTTCCGAGGAAGAAGAAAAAGATGGTACTTATATTCGTGGAAACAATGGTAAATAGCTGACTCCGGCATTCGAGATTTAAAGGTTGATCCCGAAGGAATATCCTGGGATCTTTACGTGATAACGGGATAACGATCAAAGCGAGTTTGACGACCGTGTTTTTATTCCGTAAATAAAGATTTCACTTAGAAAGGATTATAAATTTTATGTTCTCCAAAAATGATTTCTTTTTTTTTTATTTTTTTTTTATTTTTTATTAAAGAAGATTTTTATGTTGAAGTAAGCTTTGCCTCTTCACGATTTAAATTCAAAATTAAAATACTAAAATATATAATACAGTATTAAACCAAGCTAACATTTATAGATTAAAATACATCTATTAATAATACATATAAATTATTGTTGAATTATTATAATAAACAAATTTGAAAGAATATTAATAAAAGCCGTAAAATTTCATTAATTAAATAACATAACAAATGGTAAAAGCAAATAATCTAATAATATTTTATATTAATTGTGTATGTATGATTGTATGATTATATTATTTGTACAATATTATTCAAACGAGATTACTCCAAGTAATGCTCTCTAAATATTATAATACAAAAAGCGCTCCTTTTTTCTCACTTTCTTCTTACTCTCTTCCGAGTAAGAAATGAAAAGGAAAACACAAGTTAGTAAGGAAGATGTGTAAGTCGCATCGTGGCCGGTCATCTCAACGTTTTACGTTATACCAAACGAAGCGTTTCTTTGGGGAAGCGTTCCGCAGCCATTCAACACAAACGGCTCTCAACTTCTTTGTGCCTTTGAAAATTTTACATACTATTGAAATAAATGATCAGAAAATAAAATTGTCACACGTTTGTGTTATAACGAGCTTACATAATTGTATATTCATAATTCAAAAAGATAATCAAACAATTTTAATCATATTGTTAGATGCAATGATGTTTTGCGAATTTTTGCCTTCAACTAAAATGAAATATTTCTAATCCAAATGTGTCACCGCCGTATATATTGCGAGTTATTATAACAAAAGTGTTGAAAAAGAGCAATGCTAACCGTCGACCGTTGCTCGGGAATGGACAAAGAAAATCGGTGAAGCGAAGAGAGAGTAAAGAAAGAAATCTAAGAGAATTTGCATCGTTCCAGTTTAGATTATCGAGCGTTTCGTCGGCGCAAGCACTTTCTTCCTACGCCACGGCTGATTATCTTCTCCGCCTCGTGGCGCAGCGTTGAAAACACGTCCAGATCCTGAGAGAGTAATTACGTGACGAGAAACACGAGTCCGATATTCCGACACAACACCGCGATAGGTATACCTCTCGTAAAAGAAACTACAACGACGACTATTAATCTCGGCCTCGCACGTTCGTCGAAATTACCTCGCTATAGGCACTGCTTAAAACATAGTTATTATTTGAGATAACGTAGAAATTGCTTTGACAGAGATATATATGTGTAAATTTTGATTATACATTTTTGTATCTTAATAATTGCAAACTCTGTTCGAATTGTATTAAGTAAGGAAAAGTACATTGGCACATTTTAGTAATTATGTACTTTAGTGAAATAGAAATAAAATTAATACAATGTGTATATAATATAAAATTGTATAATAAAATTATATATCCCAAAACTATATAGTCCTAAAAATTTATATGATTAATTTACTTGAAATAGAAATAACGAAACGCTTGTTTGTAAGTTGACTATTTTATGAAAGTCTGAATGTATAAAATACTTCTAGGAATCATACTAGGAATAATACTAGGAAATACAAAAAGTTACATGAATAAAATTAAAAATTGCATGTTATTTGCTTTGCTTGTTTCAGGCGCATGTAGTCTCAGCTTTTGAGCAATCGCTATCCAATATGACCCAGAGATTGCAGCAACTCACAGCTACAGCTGAGAAGAAGGTAAAAACACACTTTAAAAGTATTAATCATTTATAAGAATATTAAGTTTTAACAAATTTTTATGATTTGTGATTAAAAAAATACATATTTTTGTTTTTTCGCAAAAATTTCTGCCTAAAGTGATATCCTTGAATTTCATTAAAAAGCAAAAAGAAATTATGAACACATCATTCTGGATTTAATCGACACCCGATGCAGACGTAAAATATTTTTGCCATTAAGAAAAAAATTCTTTTTTTGCCGGTGGCTTTTTAGGATTCTGAACTTCAGGAACTTCGAGAAACGATCGAGAGGCTGCGCAAGCAAAGTGCCGAAGCTGGATTGAACAACGGTCCAACTGCGAACAATGGTCGGCGTCATACTTTAGGTGATTCCGAATCCGGTACCACCGGCTGCACCGGCAACAGTAGCAACAACCACCATCAGGGCGCATCGATGGCAAGACAGCTGTCCGCGGACAGCGTGACGTCTCTGAACTCGTTAAGCAGCGCCTGCTCGGCCAGCAGCAATCATCACAAGAAGAAGGGTTGGCTACGCAGCTCTTTCTCCAAGGCCTTCTCGAGGTCACGTAAAAATCGACACGGTTCGGTCTCCGATGCCGAAGATTGCAAGGAGAGCCCTGGCGGTGACCTGAGCGCTCCCAATAGTCCTAGACTGCCAACCGCGTCCAAACACGAGTCTTTGAGAACGCAAACCGCGAGGAGCAACGGCCAGAAATCTCCCGATCATGAGAATCCTTTATCGGGAAGCAAGAGCAGCTCGGCGTTGTACAAGAAAGATGACGAAGACGTGGATGAATTGAAGAAGCAATTGAGGGAGAAGGACTTGGTGCTCACAGATATCAGATTGGAAGCGTTATCTTCAGCTCATCAGCTGGAGTCTTTGAAGGATACGGTCATCAAGATGAGGGTACACTTTTTATTTAGAAAAGAAATTGATACATTCTCTAAAATTGTCATTTTCGAGAAGCTTAACGACTTATAGTTAATATTTTAAATTTTTTTCTAGAAAAAAAAACAATTATATCTTTGCGATTAATTTATTTTATATAAATTTATTATTTTTCCTTCACAGTACGAAATGCTGAACTTGAAGCAGAACAATGAGCGTCTCCAGCGACTAGTGACCTCAAAGTCGCTTACTTCATCACAGTCCTCTCTACCTAGTGACCCAGATCGACGCTTCAGCATGACCGAGGTGGCATCGAGTGTCGCAGCGTTATCGAACGGCGATATCAGTTCCACGGCCGATCAACTGGAAGATCTCAACGTTCCGATCGAACATTCCGTGGTACCGTCGAGCGCGACAACGGAACCAGTTCTCGAGCAAGACACTGACGGCAAGAGGATCAACGTGGCCGTCTATCTCGGCAGTGAACGAAATTTCAATTACAATTTGATTACCGGGAGCTCCGCCGACGGCACTATAGGCGAACCGCCACATTGCGTGATCGCCAATGTGTGCATTAGCAACAAGACCAGCTGGGACGCGTTGGATTCTATAGTGAGGCGTTGCTTCAAGGAGTACGTTTCCCGGGTGGATCCCGTGACAAATCTGGGTCTTGGCGTCGAATGTGTTGCCGCGTATCATCTCGGCGAGGCTTCTAGGTGGGTATTTAATTAAAAACTACTTTTATATATATATATATATATATATATATATAGTATATACATGTATATATAGTCTAAATTCATATAGATACCTAATACCCTCTACGACTTTAAATACATAATGGATAGATTTTTAATTCTATGAGAGTGCTTTTATTTATATTTGTCTTTATTATCACCATTTAAAATAATAAAAATTTTGTACTCCACTTTATAGATGCACTACCGATTCTCAGCATCCTGAGTTGTTACCCTGCGGTTACTTAGTCGGCCACGTGAAGACTATCTATCTAGTATTGTCAGGCTACTCCTGGCTAGCGGTGGACACCTTGATACCGCGCTCCATCGTTCAGCGACTGATCTCCCTCCTGACGGAACATCGTAGAGTAATTCTGTGCGGACCAAGTGGTACAGGGAAGAGTTATTTAGCTGGAAAATTGGCGCATGCTCTAGTAGACGCTGACAGCGACACGAAAGACGCCGCCGCCGTTGCAACTTTCAATGTCGATCACAAATCCAGCAAAGAATTACGCCAATATCTCGCACACATCGCTGAAAGATGCGATTCGAATGCCGCTGACGAACTACCTAGGGTGATTATTTTGGAAAATCTTCAACACGCGGCATCTCTGGGCGAACTCTTCAGTGGGCTCTTAGGAACCAGGCACTCATCATGTCCTGCTATCATCGGTACTATGAGCCAGGCCACCTGCAGTACCACCAATTTGCAGTTACATCATAATTTCAGGTACTTTTTCGCGGCCTGTATTCGTTTCTCGAATCAATTGCTTTTCGGATTTGCTGGTGATTGGCAAGTCATCAGTCACAGAATATTTTTTAATTATATTTCTTAATAAATTAAATTTTGATTATATAATGTTAAACAGGTGGGTATTATGCGCGAATCACATGGAGCCGGTCAAGGGATTCCTAGGGCGTTATTTGAGAAGGAAATTACTGGAGCACGAACTACGTGAATGCGCCGGAACAAGGAACGCGGAAATGGCGGCAGTAGTCGAATGGTTGCCGCGTGTATGGCTGCATCTTAATAAGTTCCTAGAAACCCATAGCAGCTCCGACGTTACAATAGGTAATTGAAAATATTTGCAATACATTTTCATACTTTTATGGATATAATTTTTGAGCCCAATAAACTCAATTTAAAATAAAAATTCGCAACAATTTTATTTTCTTTAATTATCAGTTGTCTTATAGTCTGCGATAGTACATACAATCAACGATTTTCAATCGCGAAATTTAAAGGATTTTTAGAGTCTGCGGTACAACTCTATTGTTTTGTCGAATCTCTTTACTATCTTTAATTTTCCTATCATTAATAATTACAAATGAATAATAAATAATACTAATAATTTATCAGGACCACGGCTCTTCCTATCATGTCCGATGGAAGTGGCTGGATCTCAAGTGTGGTTTACCGACTTGTGGAACTATTCGGTAATACCTTACTTAGTGGAAGCGGTCAGGGAAGGATTGACACTATACGGAAGACGCGTAAGCGGCAACGGAAATGGCGAACCCACATGGGAGGATCCAGCGCAATTCATCACGTCAAGCTATCCATGGCTCTCGACGCATGCTGTGCATGGCGGCAGCGATGCTCTTCTTCGTCTGAGACCTGAAGACGTGGGATACGATGTCGTCTCCAGCGGGCACACTTCCGGTGTGGGCGCCTCCAGTGTAAAGAGCCTCGGAAGTACTCACAGTGATACCGAAGGAGATCCTCTGGTTAGTATTCAAAATATTGATGTTCAGAAACTTTAAAACACATATATTTGAACGTAAAGTTAAACTTGAAAATTTTAAATTTGATATACTTGAAAAATATAAAAAAACTGTCCTGAGAGATCTATCAATCTTTCAGGATTGAAAAATATTAATATTCATAGATAGCAGAATGCGATATTTATTATCAATTAAAGAAGCCTGAGCCGAATAAATTGTTGAATATAATAATAATAATAATTTCTAAATAAATTAATTATATATTTATCTTGCATTGTGGAAAATTATTCTTCTAAATAAATACAGCAATTGTAACAAAGAGAAAGAAGATAAAATTTACATAATTCTGCACATATTAATTATAGAGAAATTTATTGTTTTATTTATTTATGTTGCTTTATGTGTAGGAATTATTTAGTTATAATTAAGAACTTTATTAATTAATCGACTTCAATTTTCTTGAATCTATTTTTACAGCTTAATATGCTGATGAGACTTCAGGAAGCGGCTAATTACTCAAGTCCGCATAGCAACGACAGCGATTCGGTGACGTCCCTTGACTCGTCACATACTCGCCATTCAGAAGATTTGAGCAGTTCGACATCTTCGTCAAGAGGAGTAGAATCGGCACTTTAAATTAGCAAGATATCATCGCCGAAAGGTCAACATACGCATATTGACCGTTTCACAATTAAAAATACTATAAAAAGGTCAGATCAATAGCTCTCACAAGTAAACAATCATTCCGATCGCCGAATTCAAAGCAAGGGAGAATTATTTATAAATAAAAGGTAATTATAAACCAAGGATCTTTATCAGGGAAAATAATCAGCGCAATGTTTTTTAAGATTAAAATTCAAGAAGAAAGTTACAGATATCGCTAAATCATACTTCCGAATCGAGATGAAAGCTCAGTTAAACATAACGATAATTCTTATCGTAATAAACATCAATTTGCATACTTAAGGACCCTCTGAAATAATAATGCAATAAAATTAAAAGAAGTCACGAAACGCCAGCTATTTTAAGATCGCACTATTTTAATACCAACAATAGCTTCGTAATGAGCTAACAATAAGAGGGATTTGAGATGCCTATTAAAGCTGGCCTAGATTTATAGATTTCTACGTGCATCCAGCATCTAGGTGTGATATGTAATATTAATAAATACACGAAGAATGAATAAGCGGCGACTTTTCGTTCCTAAGAAAAATATATAAACCGAAAGAAATCCATTCTATGAAAATTAGTTTTACATTTTTGGAATTGAGAAAACTTAAAATTTTTTATTTAGTTAAAGCTAATGAGGATTTGGAAAATTAAATAAAAAATGTTTTTAATTCGTTTTATTTTACAATATATTAAATAAATGAAAATAAAAAGAATTCCTGCATTAATAATAAAAACTATTAACTTTTTAGTCAGATCATTTTAGGTAAATTTCAGATTAAATTTTCCTTATTTTCGATTTATTTCTTGAAAGAATTAGCAATACTTCTAACATCTTAAAAATATCAAAAAAATGATTTCGCGAAATCAGGCCTTTCGCCGATTTCTTTCGGTGTATTTAATTTTTCATGGAGCGTACACGCTAACGCGATGCAATAATTTCTACACGCTGCCGTTTGTGAAATTCTATTTTCATGGAACGCATTTTTCATTCACGACAAGATGCGAGCGCGTAATTGAAAAAAAATTGCATCGATCTTGTCGTTTGGTATATACAGTATTAATGGCAGGCGCAAAAAAGGAAGCGATTTCGAATCGAGGAATTCTCAAAGAATAGAGATTCCTCCCTCGTCCAATTATTTTTCAGGTAAAATTATCTAATGCAGACAGATCTCAAGGATAAATAAGCAGACAATTCTCATTCATATAAGCAGACAGAGATAAAGCGAGCGAAAGGAACATGGTCTGTGCAAAAATAGTCTATTTATACATACTTTGCTACGAAAGCTCTATTTAATTAAAGAATGTTAATATAATTATATATATATATATATTATAAATAGTATATATATACATTCATACCTGAACGACGACGGCGCTAAATATTATAATATATATATTATAAAAATGAAATTTCTAACTAGTTCATAAGGTACGTGAATAATTCTGGTCATGTAACGTTGTAAATACGAGACACAAAGCAAGATAGATTACGCTAGATGTGCGAATTCGATTCGAAGTCCCATACGAATGGGCCCCGATATCTCCTGCGATAATTTTATTTTGCAATCTTTTATTCTTTATTCTTGGAATATATCATGTTTTGCGATCGATAACAAAAAATCCTTGTGTGTGTACTTTTTTATGACATCAATGAATTATTAATGTCGTCGTAACAGAATAACTTCATTTTTCTTTGTTCTAAAAAAATATTGCTCGAGAAAATAACAGTTATAAAATCATAATTATTTCGATCAATTTTATTCTCAATTTAAAAATTGTAGGTTTTGATTATGTTTCAGGTTTCAGATAAAGACATAACTTTCTAAAAATTAAACGATTTATATTTTCTTGTATGAAAAGAATATGAGAAAAATGAAAATGTGATGCTGACTGAAGAACGCGATCACAGGAGATAATACGGCATTCATGAAGTACTATACATATATAATAATGTACATGATCGATGGCATGATGTTCCCTGCTACGCTGAAATAAGAACAAGAGGGGGACATGTCAACGTTACACATACGATAGTCGCATTTACAGGTTTTTTACGTTTGTACCGTATTTATATATACGCTGTATACAGCGCCGCACTCCATCTCTATTCAAATAATGATAATTAACTATATCATCAAATAAATCGCATTCAAATCTGTCTCGTCGATCTTTCCCATCTTAAACACAACATCTTATACTTATCTACCAGTTAAAAAGAAATTATTCCTAGTGAAGAAATTATATTTCTTAAGTATTTAGTAATATTCCATCAGTATATTAAAACCAAAATTAATTTAAAGAAATTAAAAAAATTAGTTTTTAATTAACAAAAAAGATATTTAAAAGAAGCTTAAATTAAGTTTTTTTTCTTATATACTTTCTTGCAAAAGAAAATTTATTTTAATTCTTCTGTGTAAAATCTTTCCAATTCTATTTTTTTATTAATTTTATTATTTTATTAACTTATAATTAGGTAATTTTCATTTCTATCTACTTTTTACAAGGAACATTTACATTTTTTTATATCTAAATATTTTTTACTTGTTCTAAGAATAGTTCTTGGACTATCGATGGTCCAAAATCACATTAGAAATATACTTCTTTTTCTTCAGGCAATTTTCTATTACAGCGTAAACGGTAAGCAGTCTTCTATTCATCGCACTTAAATGTGCCTCTGTGATGAGTGAAGAAACATCTGACATTACAGCTTCATGTGCAAGAAGTCTATCTAATGCGATGCTTAGAGATCCACCACTAAACAATCGCAACCTATCCCACGTAGTTTTGTGAATCCTGGAATAAAATTTATTTTCTTTTTTTTTTTTTTTAATTGCTACCTCTCTTTACGCAATTTCAAAGCGTCACAATTAAAGGAGGGACAAAAAAATGAAAAATTTCAAAGATATAAGCTTTAAGATAACAGCTTCAAGGATTTTAAGCTTTACAAACTGTACAATTGCCAGAGTATATTAAATAATTCGTATGTTTTTTAATTTGCATAACTTTTGCAGAAAGTAATAAACTTATACTCACATGCAACATTGATAAAGAGGCGCCAGGATGTCGAGGTGATCCACATCAGGATTGCCTAGGCTTTTTCCATTATCGATCAGTAGCACCGCAGGATTATGGAAATTATTTTGTGCGAGTTCATAATGATGCCGATCACCATTGTCCATAAGGAAATCGAAGATCGCGGTATCGATCAAATCCAAGAGTCTACTCGACGATTGCGGTGAATAAGCCTTGGAGTCTTTTACCTTAAAAAAAAAAAAGAAAAAAAAATTAATTCTACATTTTCTATATCAAATCGTAATGATGATAATTTCAAATATTTTCATATATATTTTATATATTTTTCTTATCTTAGCAATTACTTTATCACAATAGCCTTCATCTACTTCCCACGCAGCAAGTTTGTTTCTTTTATAAGTCCGTTGCCAAGGATGACGATGCTTGACTAATTTTAAATATCGCGGAAGCCAAAAGATGAGAGCACCCTCCAATACATCTCCCGTTCCACAGATAGGGTCGGCTGGAGAACAATAATGACAAACTCCGTATAGGCATGTATCGTTACCCTCTTGATACATGGTTGTGTACAATGCTGGCGTCGCGCGGTTGCCAACCTCTTCTTTCAAGTCAACTATAAGAGTACATTTGACATTTCTTGCTTTATTAATTTAAAAAGTGATTTTGATTAAAGTTTATTGGAGAACAGTAATTATAATTAGGTTTTTATTGTAAATTCTTAAAAAATTGAATTGAGATTTCTATTAAAAATAAGCAGAAATAAATTAATTTACATGGATCTTTTAAAATCTTCTAATTTTACTCAACTTTAACATACGTTTTCGAATAACGGCGAGTGGTACTCTTCTTAACGCCAGCAAGGATGATAAATGAAAAGCTACCACTTCAGCATTGTGACGATCCTTGCCATGATACACTGGTCCGTGTATAATAGCGTCTCTAGAGTACCATTGCGGCTTGAATAACGCTTTTACGTCATTCTCGAGATTCAGCATAAGTTTCAACTGTGTACCCAGTGGAGCATTATCCGCACGAACTACTTTAGATCTCCGCAGAACTTCTAGAATGGTCCCCAGTTCCGGTGCCGCTGGCGGAATCAATTGATGTGCATCTGGCCACTGTATATTCATATAACAAAAAATAATGTCCAAATTTTATTACACTTCTCGAATTTATTTAATTCAATTTAAAATACTTCAAGGAATTTTTTAACTAACATTATTATTGGGAATATTCCAGATATCTTCGCGAACATTTGGCATTATCGTCAACTCTGCCAGCAATCTTTCTAGGACGAGAGTATAGCTTGTATTCTGTTTAAAATACTTGGAGGGTAATGTGCGAATCTCCTCTTTGATTCTTTCGCTGATATCCTTTGCGATTGATCTTAATTGCAGCTGCGAATCTTTATTTTCTTTGGATCGCGAGGACGTGGAAGGATCTTGCCTTGCTTTCGGTTCCGGTACATTTTTGGCGTATATCTTATGCGACGAAGAACTCTCGACGATCATTCGGATGAAGTAGATGTTTACGCTGAGGACCAAGATCAGGAGGATGCTCAAGGCGAAAAGAGCGCAACGTCGGCCAATCATCTGCAATTTTGCATAATCTTGCAATAATTATTAATACAATTAAAAGTTATCAATTTTCATTTAGTAATCAATCAATTTAGAGATTCCTTACTAATTATTAATCACTAAATAATAATAATAATAATTCATTATGTCAGAATAAATTCAAAACATATATGTATATCACATGTACGTCTGTCTCACTCAATTAATGAAATTATCAAGAGATTACATATCTTAAAAATTTAATTTTCTCAACTCTGTTTAAGGCATCAACTGTCTTAATGATGATATATTTTAAATATATCTTTTTCCTATTTCAATTAATATTAATGTAAGTATTTCAATTAATATAAATTTAGATTTATGCAACAGATAATTTTTCAAAACCAATAAAATTAATGTACACATGAAAGCTTCTTCTTTGATATTTTTTCAAAATATCAAAGAACCGAGTACGAGATTTCCCGCGTTATTGGCGATTGTATTACGCAATTCCTGCTTGTAACGTTATGGCGACTCTGTAACATCCGTGATGTTGTCGCACCAGTATCGATATATAGTTATCTTTAATTTTAATTAACCGAGTCTCTTCGCTTTCCAACTGAATCATAATTAGATATACGCGGGTTTTAATAATAAACACGCTGTAACTCTTAATAAAAAAAAATCACTACAAATATTCGAACGCTCGAATAATCGATATCAGTGCGTGATAACAAATGCCAATGATAACGTTAATTTCGGTCGCATCCTCCCCTTGAAGCAATTGGCCATGCGTCCACTGTCACCTAATAATTCGCATCTCTCTCATCGTTCGCCAATATTGTTGATTGTCGCCGACGTCTCATTCGTGCCCGAACATCGTCGCCATTTTTACTCACCACTCCACTTAAGACGCGCCGTAGTGATGTGTGCGTCCCAACGTCCATCGTTTCATTCATATCGCCCAGTTATGATAAATGAAACTTTTGGAAGATTAAGAAATATCTTTGTATTTAAACTTGACTCATTTTTACAGAATGTGAGTCATGCATTAAATGTAATTTCTTAACTATTAAGTATTTTAAATATTCGAATTTATCAATTATTTGAAATCTTATTATATCGTGTCCTTAATAAAACTTATCCAAAAGAAAAGAAAAACAATTAATTTCGAAGAGTAATTATCTAGAAATAATCTACAATTATGATTAAAATGACATAATTATTATAGCTCAATGCGCACAAATTAATATGTTAGACATTTATACAATGATTTTGGTTAGATAAAGGTAGATAGCTTTTTCTGCTTGGACAAATCTTAAACTGAATCTTAAACGAAAATACAACGCACAAATATTATGGGATACACAGCGAAAAGCAGCAGTGACAATGACGAATTTATTTTATAAAAACATGTAAACTACATTTGAATATAGAGTTGTATTAGACTTATATTCCGCCTCGAAGAAAACATTTCCCTGTGAACGCACGTAGTATACGTGCTGATGATAAAGATAGTGATTGTAGTGATAGTGACGCTGACTTGGCTCGGTAGCTACTATCGCATTTTTCCTTTTAAATGTTCGTTACATAGTTTTGTAGAAATAATTAAATATGTACACAATGTGTAATCGTTTCTCATTCTCTCTCCCTTCGTTGCCTCTCGCGCTCGCGTGCCAATTCTGCAGCATAGTCGTACGGTGAACCTCTTCTAAAAATCAAAATTATTAGCTTTTAAAAATATACACGGATCAAAACGAATAAAAGATTATAAATGCAAGCAATTTAATACAAATTGTGTTCCACACATCAAACGGATTTGGCATAAGTTCTTGTAAATTTCTAACACGACTCTGAAGCTTATACAGCAACTAGCGATTAGTGACTATACAATAAGGATAGTGACTATAAGCCCATTAATTTTTTAAGAAATTTCCATTCTCGCTTCCATCCTTACCTATCTCGATGACGGTCTCTGTCGCGATGGCGATCCCTGCTTCGATCTCTATATGATCTGTCTCTGCTGCGGCTTCTATGATCTCTCTGTCTTTTATTTTTGTCACGACTGCTCGATCTTTTGCTATGCCTGTCTCTTTCACGATCTCGTTCGCGAGCTCTTTCCCTATCACGCTCCCGCAATCTCTCGCGATCCCGATCACGCTCTCTGTTCTTGTCCTTACGATCCTCATCGGTTCTGCAAAAAGACACGTTCGAACGGAAGTATGACATTGGTTGTCCCGATTGATTGATTATAAGACTCGATCTATACGCACAATAAGGTTGTTAATATTTTATTTCTTCGCAAAATTAAACAATTGTACATTAAAGATAATAATTTTCTAAATCTATCTTCATGTTTCTCAAGGCAAAACGCAAAAAAACAATCATTTTTTTATCAGATTTTGATTCTATATCTCGAAATATGTAAAAATATTTATGTATCAAAAAATTGTAAAATTTGAGATGGCCCTATATATTTATTAAAGTATTAATAACGTGATCGTTGTATTCATACCACGTGGACGCACCTGGCACGCCACTGGCTCATACGCTCCGCCTCACCCCATTGAGCCTCGTTATCGGGGATGTGTCGGGGTTGCTGATTACGCGATGTCAGGTTACCGTTGTCCTTACGACCATCTTTATTGCCATATTTGCCGTGGCTGTTGAGAGTGATTGGCGGCTTAGCATTTCGTGCATTCACCTGCTGTTGCGGAAAACGCTCGGCCAGACGCAGCTCCAAATCCTTTTGGATCGGTACCGGTATCCGTGGAAATAACGTGGAAAACCATTCGAGTTTGGTAAGGAATTGTTTGAGAATGTCGCCCATTTTCATCACTTGCCCGCCACCCGCCTTTACATCTAGTTCCTCTTCGTCCTCCAGATAATCGTTGTACCAGCTGAACAAGTCTGCCGGTGGCTGTGTGTATCTAATCGCAACCGTACTGTATATATATAATCATAACCGGTTACTGTATATATATATATATATATATATTCGTAACCAGTTTATAGCTTGACTTGAATGGTTAGACGTCGCAAGTCTAGCCTACAAGCTCCGAAAGGATATTCAAGTGACTACTCGCAGCAGCCTTGATTAGTGTATCCATGCTAAATCAAGCAAATTTAACTGCCATGTGTGTATGTATACATATATACACGACTATTAATTTTTTATCACAGATATAATATTATAAATCTATTAATTTTTTATCAGATAAAAAATTAATAGATTTATAATATATTATGTCATCTTTAAGTTTTCAACTATACATTATAGTTATATCGAAACTGAAATATAAAAAGGGATCAAACATAATTCACTAGCAAGCGTAAATATATCTAACTTTCAAAATAAATACACTTTTAATAAGTTTTTAATCTAAACGTATCCTCTTTACTAAAAATTATATATCCTGAAAAATTTGCAATAAAATTATTGTGTATGCATATAATTAATACGTTTAATTACATATTTAAACGATAAAATGTTTTGGATAATACTCACCTAATATACATAAATCCTAGAGCGCGTATGTAGGGTGAGTCTGGATGATTAATAAGTCCATTCAGCTGCTTCCTGGTTAACCTCAGCGTGAAGAGTTTGTACAGTAGACAATATGCCGTAGAAACAATTCCGCCAGCTCCCACGCCTCGTACCTGCATGAACCGCTAAATTTACACCCCCCTCAGTCAGATAAGTCACATTCGTGTTACCGTACAATATATTGACCGAATACATGCTACTCTGCAATTAATTGGTGCGGTTAACACTTTGCTTCTGGCGATAGTAATAGTACCAAAGCCATTTCCAAATTGTTCGAGCATTGGCAATACTACTATCGTACGCGTGACAAACTTTGTAATTTTTTTACAAAAAAGTTCAAGTTCATCAGAACTTTTCGCCAATTATTCAACAGCTCAACTTATAATTATAACCGAATTATAATACATAACTCCTTTCTATTATACTGTGTCTTTGTTTCATTTTGTAACAAGCATTTGAAACTCCATCGCATAATTTTAACTGTCAATTTTTTAAATTAGAAATAAAGATGTAATTTTTTTTCTAAACATATAATTAGCCAAGTGTAGCTGAATATTTAAATGACTGAGATAAACGTATTAAATGAAAGAAAAAAAATAGAGACGGATTCCATCCGTACTTAAATTTCAAAAACTCGTCTAACATGTAACAATAACTGATGTTGCATGATAATACATCAAACGTAATGCTGCATTTAAATCCCCTTACTACCCTTGTCTGACAATTTGCCCAGGTCGCTGGCTAGTGCAATGTAATCAAGTTTTTGTACAAGCGAATACATTTATGCAACATGTTTCATAAGCCTCAGACTTTCAACAAATGCATTAATAAGTAAAAAAATACAAAGAAAAAATTCGATGTTCTTGAGAAAACATACTCACGCCTCCACACATGCCGGTTTGACCTGCAGTCTTTCTGCTGCCTTTTTCCCACGGTTCTAAGTGAGAGACCTTATAATAGATCTCATCAATCACCTCATGATAAGTCTTGAGTTCGTACAGATTCACCTTGAAATAATGTGACGACTGTATGTTGGTGAGAATCAAAGGATTCAAATTCATAGTCCTCTCGTTGCCCCATAGCGGCAACACATTTGACTTTTTACCCTCCTTTGGAGCTGGCCTACGTTCCTCATCGCAGCCACTCGAATTATTCCATGGGGATCCTGAGAGAAGAAAATGAATGTATCTCAGTATCTTTCAACGCCACACAATAATCGATATTCAAACAGGATATTAAAATGTTACATGTACGCGCAGACAAATTAATATATACAGACGCTAAAAGAGATTGTGAAAAAATGATTGTTCCACGAAGGAGAATTTTAGAAAACCAATAACGATACTTTCTACATTTTTACCTCGTTCCATGCGTATCTCTTTTCGAGTAGATGAAAAGAATTTGCAAACGAAAATAAATCAAACATTGTCGACAAATAATTAAAGTTTAAAATTAACTTTGGAATAATGTGGTAAAGAATCGAGAAACAACCAGATACCCGACTTAAGGTTATGTTATTCGAGAAATAAGGAAATGTCCTTTTACGAACGATAGAAAATTCGAAGATCGGAATTGCGTGTTCTCGATGACACAGAACGTGTATTTACTCACCATCCGCACCTTCGGCCTCCTGTGCTTGCATCTTCGAATGATTTGTCGAGAAGACTCGCGTGGAGTCTCCACATCGGTCGCGTCGAGGACAAACGAACCCACTCGGCAGTCGGCGTCGAATCGCCCCCACCCCGGCGAATCAACTATTCAACTCGACACGAGGAAGATCTCCGACGTGATGTTTCTCTGAATATCATGAAAATCAACGCTGTGTAATTCTTTCGAGAAGCAAAAAAAGTAAGAAATCGCAGCACTCTATTACGTATGATGGACAAACGTACACATCCGGTTCTATGCTGCGCGCGCAATATTACCCAAGACGGAAGACCCCAAGCTACATTCTCTTGACTCGCGTCGCGAGTCAAATTCTTTTGAAATTTATTGTTAAAAATAAGAAATTATGAGAGAAAAATTACAAAACTGCAAAAATTAAATTAAAATAATGGTGTGTCTCGTGTCAAGTCACATGTAATAATTATAATAATAAATAATATACATATGTACCTTGTCGATAATGCAGTGTGTTATCCATTGAAAAATTTCACGATTGGCTATGTAGTACGGAGATGTATATACATTTTGCGTAGAGGGATCTCTCGTCTTTTGTTGTCCTTGCTAGAATTTTTGGACAACACGTACCTACGTATTTGAGGAATTTGTTCGATAAAGCAGATACATATTAGGGTGAGAATTTATATGTATGCATTAATTATACTAATTACAAATGACCTAAAATAATATTAGTAATTCTTCAAGTTAATTATTAATTGAGATATCCTCAATTTTTTCCATAGTGTCGCTGTGACAATGCTGTCGAGCAGAAGCACATTTGCATTTCAACAGCATCTGCGACGGAAGATTTTGACCGTCGATACATTTTACCTTACAGAATTACAGAAAAATTGTAGAAAAAATGTATATGAATACAAACAAACTCGCAATTTTAGAAATTTCGGCCATACTGGAAGAAAATTTCGCTTAAGCTACTTTATACCATTTATTATTTGTAGCGCTGGTATGCTTATAAACTGTTTTGATTGGCAACGGTAAGTAAATCATATTAATTATAATTAAATGATGCAAACATTAAATACCTATATCGTTCAGTATACCAATGTAATGCTCTATATTACAGTATGCTTAACTTAGTACCTAAAGTAGATGCTGCCAGTATCCTAGTAGAAGAGACTCAGAATAATGAAAGTATAGAAAGTATTGAACAAGATGTACAGAAGAAGAAGAAGAACAAAAAACAGAAGATTGGATTTCGCGATAGAAAGGTTTATTGAAGACCCGCTATCCATAGTAATATATTTATGCACGTTAAATTTCTTCAAGATTATCTCAAGAGTATCACATAGGATTGTTTACACAGTGAAATGAAGAGAATAAACACATGTAGACAATTATTTTCCCATATGTCATTAAAATAATAGTACAGATCTTATGATTTAACGCTTTGTTTGCACCAGCATGTATTTGTGCAGCAGAACGATGCAGGCTCAAGTGTTTTTGCAGATAATAGAGTACGAGAACAGGATTAGAGCATATTCGACGCCAGACAAAATCTTTCGTTACTTTGCAACTGTGAAAATAAGTAGTTTAGAAGGTATCGAAGTCTATATGACACCCGATGATTTTCTTCGAGCTATCACTCCAGATATGCAACAACCAAATGGTAGGGCTTAATTCCAAAATTTTTATTGCATTGGTTCCAAAATATAATCATGGTTTCTTATTGTTTATAATTATCTACAATAAATTCTATTAACAACTACTTACCTGCTTCGCTCTGCTAACTAAAATATTCACATATTAATTTCTTATCTAATACCAAGTAAAAACTGGTTTGTTGATTGTTTCAATTGTTCATAAATAATATTATACCGCACAAGTATTCAGCATTTTCTACAATTAAAAGTCTGCAATAATTTTTCACACTTTTAAAACTCCTGACTATCGATTAATTATGTATGTGCAGATAATAGAATATGAAAACCGTATAAGACATTATTCAACGCCAGATAAAGTGTTCCGTTACTTTGCAACTCTCCAAGTCACAAGCAACGATATACACGAAGTGTTTATGACGCCGGATGACTTTTTAAGATCGATGACTCCTGGCGTGAAACAGCCCGACGGTAATCCCAAATCCTACATCATCTCTGGGCGCATTTTCTTATTTTCCAATTAAACGTTGCTTGATAACAATATTTCGAAATATGAGGTGCTTGTTAATGCTTTGCAACAGCTTTTCTCAGCGTGTGCAAAACAGTTAACATTTTAAAGTTATAATTTTGTTTAAATCCGATTATCACACAAATTTATCATATAAAATATATAATATACCAAAAAAAAAAATGAGTATGCAATAAAACTTATATCTTACATTATTCATTTTCAGGTCTTGGATTAGATCAGTACAGGCGTTACGATCCAAAGGTATATTAATAAGATTTACTTAAAAAATACTTTAATCAAGGTACTTCTATAAAAATATTATCTTTCTTATTTAGAATATTCACACCAAGTTAGAATTAGAGTTGGACGAAGATAGTATCTTCTATAAACTAGGCAGTGCAGGTCTTATTACTTTCTCCGATTACATCTTTTTACTGACCGTATTGTCAAGTAAGCTGCTTACTGTTTCGTTAATTTTTAATTTAATTATATGGCAGGATAATATATTATATTAGTAACAAGAAATTCATTTAAAATTAGTTTAAAATACATTTATACATGCATATATATATATATATATATATATATATATATTAATCGATAAATCAACTGAGTCTCATAGTTTAGATATGATAGAACTTTAAAGTTTCAATGATCTAAATATATTTTACAGCTTCTAGACGTCATTTTGAAATTGCCTTTAGAATGTTTGATTTCAATGGAGATGGTGATGTTGATTCTGAAGAGTTTGGAAAAGTAGCTACATTGATACGGCAACAAACTAGTATAGGTACTCGACATCGCGATCATGCGACTACAGGAAACACATTTAAGGTTCTAATAACTTACTTATTAATATTTATCTTATAAACAATAAATATTAAATGCTTGTTAATTTGAATTATGTGTACGAACAATCAGATTTAATTAAATTAAATAAAAATCTCAATTTTTTATTGAAATTTTAGGGAGTAAATTCTGCGCTGACAACATATTTTTTTGGACCACAAATGAATCAAAAGCTAACAATCGAGAAATTCTTGGACTTCCAGCAGCAGCTACAACGAGAAATTCTAAGTCTTGAGGTATACTCACAACTTTATACTTGCCACAATTCCATATTATTCATATTTGCTTTGTCTACTTCTTCATAGTTTGAACGACGAAATCCGGATGAGCATGGCAATATCACCGAGGTAGACTTTACGGAATTATTGTTGGCTTATGCTGGATATCCTGCGAAAAAAAAAGCAAAAATGTTAAAGAGAGTAAAAAAGACGTGAGTGTGAAAATATTTAATTTTTATATTTGAAATTTAAGATTTCAGAGAAGAATTATTATACAATTAAACATCATAATTATTTATAGCTTCAAAGAAGATCCAAAAGGGATCAGCAAAGAAGAATATCTCAAGTTTTTCCACTTTTTGAATAACATTAATGACGTTGATACAGCTCTGACATTCTATCATATAGCCGGAGCGTCTATCGATCAAGGTAAGTATTATATATAAAAAATAATTGTTACTAATTTCAATATCGTAACTAAAACTTAAATAATAAAATAATTTAAAATAATTATAAGTGATTGTAAGAAACAGTCAATAATTTAAAATATTAAGCAAACGCGATGCTGCATCTTTATTGATATATTTATTATTTATTTATACGTAATTCTGTATTGCAGCGACATTAAAACATGTAGCAAAAACTGTAGCACATGTTGATCTAAGTGACCATATTATTCAAGTGGTATATACAATTTTCGACGAAAACAGTGAGTTAATTTTTATCAATAGTAATACTGTTTGTACATACATTAACAGATTGCCAAGAAAAGCCACTGTTTTTCTTATAAGTTATAGTAACATGATAGTACTTGTGTATCTTAAATGTGTACATAAAATTTATTTTAAATTATTCATCGCGGATCTTGTTTCATAGTGGATGGACAACTTAGCAATCGAGAGTTTGTCGCTGTCATGAAGAACCGTGTGTTGCGCGGTCTAGAGAAGCCAAAGGATACTGGATTTGTCAAATTAATTCAATCCATGATGAAGTGTGCAAAAAATAGCTATTTCCTGTCGTACGATAAATAATAAAATATTCAAATGTTACTTGATCAAATCTTCTTTCATTAATTATAAAGTGCTTTCTTTCATTCATTGTAATATATAGAGAGAAATAAAATATGCAAAATATAGAATTATAAATTTAAAATAGTTTTGCAATTGTATTTATTTTAGTATATTGTTTGTAAACTAAAAACGTAGACATTCGCGCTAAAATAAATTTTACAACAACAACGCATTACGTTAATACACTTTCACTGTTCTACTAAATAGAGCGTATCATCCGAAAAACATTCGCAAAGTATAGAGACTATAATTTCTCCTATTCAGTACGCGTTCAGTACTTTGGTATCATTCATTAACGAGACATCAACGGATCGGATTTATTCGTGTCGCAAATTATATTACTAAATACGTAACAATGCATATGAAATATAATTTTAATTTACTTTTGATACAAATGGCAATGATATTTATACTCATAAATTCTGTCACGGCCAATTTATTGGACAAACTCACAGAAATGACTTTAACAGGTAAATGTTGCGTTATAAGTGAAATGTGATTTGATTGTATGTCGTTTTATAATATTATATATATTAATTTATACTAATTATATTATAATTAAATCCACAAATAGTGAATAAAGAAGAGGCTTCAAAACAGGAAAAAGCAGATATTTTGTCAATGGGTCAATACTTTCAGTGAGTAAAGTCCTCTTTAAAAGATTTGTAATTAGCGTCAGGTTTCAGGATATAAGAATCCTATTTATAATTTTATATGGTATCTATTTTTGTGTGTATATTTTTAAATACATTTTATATAAGTACATATTCTTCAAATATTCTTGTTTTATATGGCACATAATAATTGAGTTGAGGAATCTAGAATTCTGACGCGAATTATAGATTGTTTAAAGTGAGTTTATATAATATAATAATTTGTGCAAAATTACAAAAAAAATTGTAAATTATACACTTCGATGACATTCATCCCATATAATAGAGATATATTTTCGGAACATTTGGCACCTCTAAAACTTGAATTTGGACACGTCTGTGAGAATCCTATCGAATGGGAACAAAGATTCGAACGAAAAGATTTTGATAACAATCGTTACAGCGGCAAGGTAATTATTTTATTTCGCGATATTATGAGCATAATTATTTATTTGTGTAAATCATACTTTATATTTCTTTATTTTATATACATCTTAAAAGATTCTTTCGTTAATTAGAGTAATACCTTAAATATTAATCAATTTATTAATATATCTGTTTGCAAGTAATTTATTTCTAATTGATTGCATTTTAGGTAAAATGGGGTAACAAAAATGGAGAATACGGTGAACAGTATTGGGACTTGAATCATTAATTTTAGCAGAGACTAATTATTCATAAACAAACATTGACAATAGAATTTATTTAATAAAAATTTCTTGTTTGAAATTGTTTTTTCTAATTTATTCTGATAAGATAATTGTTGTAAAATAAAAGATTTAAAACAATCATATAAATTACATACATACATAATTATAAACGGAATTTTATTTTCTAAATTTAAAAGATAATTTACTTTTAGGTATAAATGTGAAATTAGCAAAAGGAAACCACGTAAAGGAGCATCGGTGGTTCAGTGGTAGAATGCTCGCCTGCCGCGCGGGCGGCCCGGGTTCGATTCCCGGCCGATGCAACTCTGTTATTTTTGCCCATGCGTGATTCAAAATCTATTGAGAAAGAAAAATTTAATGTTGAGTTTTAAAAGTCTATTTGACTTATATAATTTTTAAGCAATAAGAATTAACAAAAAAATATTCTGCATCGGCCGGGAATCGAACCCGGGCCGCCCGCGTGGCAGGCGAGCATTCTACCACTGAACCACCGATGCTGTCTCGTGTCATTCACGAGGTATCATTAAAGAGTGATGGTCTTATGGGGTTCGCGTAATTCGAAAAATTCGACGAGAAGTAATTGAAGAACGTGACATTATTAACGCGATTTTGACTGTACCGAGAATAACAAATATCACTGTTTTATTATCGTCAATAAAAAGTTTATTATTTTTCAATTTATTTCGCAACGTTTGCTGTATGAATACACATATTTTTTAATTTCCACAACGTTTGGCGTTTGCTGTATGTACAAATTTTCGAGATTAATTACTGTGGGTCACCCGATCACCGACGATCTCAAATAACTACTATTACCATAGGAACGCTATTTACCATATGCAACTAATTCGAGAGTCGATAATATCGCGTTTTCGTTTCGCGATAGATCCGCTGCAATGTGGGTGGCGTGGGTGATACGATCGCGTGAAAGTACCTAATAAAACTGTCGTACAGCTGCCATACTGCATTGAACAGTACATTTAGCTAAGCGTCGCTATGATCGCGCGGATCGCACTTGACGAATCTGTCGCCTTATCTCTCAAAAAACTATATCCGACGTCAGATTTTCCATCGAATCAACGTCATAAGACCTGAAAATGTCAAAATTCGCCACCGAATCGCGAATTAACGGAACACAGTGTTCAACGTACGCGGTTCTTCCTCGCGTTGGAAACAGTGTTGAGGTATAGCTCGGCGAAATCGCAGATATTAATCCCTGATTATCGGTACATGCATGAACTACCTGGCGAGTGGCGATGATCCTTGCACACGTATCCTGACATTCCTGGCTGTATTTAGAACAAAATATCCAAAATATCCGGACTGGAACAGCGACTCCTTGCTCGACGTTCCACGCGGACGCACCACACAAAGTATTCGTGATTCATATGTATTCCATCACTGCATTCCGTCACTGCATTCCTTCACTGCATTCCGTCACTGCATTCCTTCACTGCATTCCGTCACTGTATTCCGTCACTGCATTCCGTCACTGCATTCCATCACTGTATTCCGTCACTGCATTCCGTCATTGTATTCCATCACTGCATTCCGTCACTGCATTCCGTCACTGTATTCCATCACTGCAGTATTTCCATCGCGTACACACTGTAGCGTCACACGCGAGATACTCTCTTAAACGATAACAATTAATAACAATAGCGAGAGATACAGAGATACACTTGGACGCGACCGCATCGTTCCGTGTCGTCCCGTCGTTTGTCTACTGTTTAGAAGTTTCTAGAACCAACGTTTTGGGCGCGCAAATCACGCAATTACGATCTTGGAGAAATTTCAAGTTGAAGGAACCAATCACGTCGCGACGATCGGGCGTTATCTCATCTGCACTTGCTGTACTTAATGGCGTATGTACACATACACTTACAATTAGTCTTTGGAGGAAAAAAGAGAAAACGAACGCGACGAATGCAATTAGATATTAATCAGAAAAATGCTACTTTAATAAACAAAATTCAAAAATGCTTCAATAAACATAAAAAATAGAAAAAATATATAAATATATAAATTGCAATAATTTGCCTAATACCATAAAATAATTGTTTTAGATATTATTGCAAATTATATTAAATAATTTATTAAAAAATAAAAATGTTTTTTAGGTTTTATACCTAGTATCAGTATATATAGGTGTAGGATTTCTAGGTATAATTATCTCTTTTACCGCATGGTAATAAACGCATATGTAAACTTTTTTCCTCTCGCTCATATTCGTTGAGTTCGGTGACAATAGAAATATACGCGAGAGTCCGTTCCAATCGAGATTATAATAATGTAACGATCAAGATCATGCGTTTGCACGGCGACTCGTCGCCTTGACTACCCTACTGTCGATAATAAAACAGTGATTTGATCACGTAAGACGATCATGTTTGTTATCCTCGGTACAGCCTAAACGGTTGGTAATATCATCGTTCTTCAATTACCCCTGGGGCCCGGGCCCACTTGGCAGTTACGAAAATTTATCCATGACCGACCGTCTTCAATTTCCGACACTTCGTCGGGATGCTTGTGTGAATATGTGTTTTTCTTCACTAATCCAAGTTGTAATACAATTAAAATTGAAAATCGTAATTTTTTTTCTCGATAAAATTGAACGTCATTCGATATCGCACAGTTATGGAGATCGTAGATAGGTTGGCAATTTTTCCGACATCCAGTTCGTATACGAGTGTAAAATGCCGTTTGATGTGTGCTCGCAGGGGTCGTGATTTGCTCGCGAAACGAGTCGACGGTCTCTTGATCCGATTTCGCGCGATTATGTCGCGGTTAGTTAAGAGGAAATCGCAGCTCGGCCAAGTTATGAGGGACGCGGCCTTCTCGTTGGTCGAAGTCAATTACGCGACAGGTGGATTAAATGAGCTAGTCCTGCAGGCGGTCGACAAGGCCAAAACCAAGATTCGATCCAGACAGGAGATGATCGGTGGGATTCGACTATGGATTTACGAGCCCTTTCGCAGCGGCGCCGATCCCTTCGAATTTGTCGGATTGGCCAGAGGCGGTCAACAAGTAATTATATATACCATACTCCATATAATATTCGCTAATCGCGCTATACGATTAGCTATACGATTAGCACGAACTTTAGTTTTAATTAGCATTCATGTAAACATTACTGCCGGTAATGGAATCAATAGGTTATTCGATACGCCAGGTTGCTAGATTGAAGATCAATTACGAGAAGGCGATCGATTTGTTGGTCGAATTGGCGTCGTTGCAGCGTAATTTCCTGATCCTCGACCGGGTAGTCAAGGCGACGAGTCGCCGTGTAAACGCTCTTCGCTACATTATTATACCTCGATTAGAACGGACTCTCGCGTATATCGTCACCGAACTCGACGAATATCAGCGAGAGGAATTCTATCGTCTTAAGAAGATACGAGAATGGAAAACGAAGCGACGTGACAGACGATCCTCTAACAATTTCACGCGGAGCGTCAACATCCTCGACGACACGGACGAGGATCTTCTCTTTTAACAATTATAACAGAATCGTAATTCGAGGGCCAGCGCAGATGCAATCTCAAGAGCGCGCTTTCAAATACAATAATACATGGCACAAATGTCCACGAGAATGCTATATATCTCTTATGTTATTGTTTGCACTATAAATTTTTCACTTTTCATTTATATATAATAATGGGCGATGCGAGGAGCGAGGAAGAAACAGGGAGAAGATCATGCTGCCAGAATAAATGTCGACCCTCCGTCGAACGAATGAGAAAGAAACGCAAGAAGCCAGGGAAGTGAGAGAACGCGATGGAAACGAGAATACAGAGGAAGGGGAACCCGAACCGTAGGTCCAATTATACCAAGAAAATACAGCCCGTAAAGCCAGTCTTAACTGCTGCCAAACATCGAGATATGATAATGAGAACGTAACTGCAGTTCTTCCCTCTCTCCTAATCCTATAGAGTTGACGGATGTAGATTCTAGGTGTAGCAACTGCTAAAATTGGAAGAACTTTCTCCTTTCGCGCGAAAATTTATTTCAATTTATATATATATAATTTATGAGAGAACATATTAAATTTCAACTATTGAACAAATGCACCTTGCAAAGAGCAAGAAAGCTCATTTTTATAAAGAAATTATAGTATTATATAGTTTGATGTAAATGTGTATATATAATATATATATATATATATATATACGCATACATAAAATATTACATGTAAAAATGATTCCACGCCGCATACCAAACGCGGAGTAATCAGAGTCGATCGAGTCGATTGGGCTCGATCGCCACATGGAGAAGACGCGTATGAATGCGTGTACGAGCACGACGGACGAACGGAAATCCCTGCCGCTGGAGGGAGAAAGGAATCAGAGGAGAACCAGAGCCAGAAGGCCCTGTAAAGAAGCGAACAAGCGTAGAAAGGAGGGGAGGAATAAACAGACGTCACGGCATGGCACGCTAGGGCGCGGATCAGTGGGCGAGCGTTTGGTTTAGTCGCACGGAAACCTTCGACGAGCAAGGATAGTGCGTTCAGGCCGGTCATTATTTCGCGATTAATTCGCGTTAAAATTCACGATGATCCGTCCAAAGGATCGTTGTAACGCGCGCTATCACCTTCCGTGATTGACCGATATATGACCGATTGTTACGTGAGAACACGACCGATTATGCGACCGCCTTTGTGATCGATTCTTTGCTACGTTCGCGTTCGAAATCGCGCTCCCGTGTCTGCTTAAACGCGCGCGCGTCGCGCGTCACACGCTGGATCGTAGTAGATCATTAATTGATCATTGTTGCGTGCGTGCGTGCGTGCATGCGTGCATGCATGCGTACGCATGTTCTCGCATAAATGGTTCGCAATCTCTGTTTCTTTTCTAAAAAGAAACAACATCCGCTTCACGTTATACACATGTATATGAAGCAAAGTTTATTATATTTTATTTGAATATATTTCTAAATTATTAAATTGAAAGTGTGTGAAATGTAAATTTCATCGAGTTTAATCTACGAAGGACAGGGTGACGTTAAGCGTTATCGCGTTGAGATCTCAATTGTTGAAACTTGATTAAATTAAAACCAAGATCCTGAATCTACACTGGAGAAAAACACCAGTTAAATTGATCTTATTTAACGCGCAAGCAAGTTAATTGAATTACTCGTTAAATTAAGATTGAATTTGACGGCTCTTTAAATAAAGCTGCGGCAGGACCGTAATCATGACAAGAAAGTGAGTCCAATTGAATAAACAGTAAAATTAAATCTTTATTAATCGAAAAGTCTTTCTTTTGTGAAATTTTATATTTTTAATCAACTCTTTTTAATATAATATTTTTTCTTTATTAATATTTCTGTATTAAATTGTCACGCTTTTACAAATGTTTTCTTGCCATGCAGATATTTCAATTAAGGCCAAGTTTATGAGAACCTAATAAAAATCTTGTTTATATATTGTGTATATATATATATAGCCGTTTATCTCTTTTCTATTTTCATGTTTTTTTTGTTTTACTTGTTTAGAATTCCTGATTGAAAATTCCGCATGATGAACGATCGACATCCCAGCACGCCGATCGATCGATGGCGAGTGATATATACGATAAAAAATTTCAAATAACATTACGATTTGGAAAACGTCTCTCGTGGAAAATGCGTTGGATTTTGTTACCATTGTTGACGTTGGTGCGTGCGATATGGTGCGCGCACGGCGCCTGCGAGCCGATCAGAATCGAGATGTGCCGTGGCCTTGGCTACAATGTCACTGTCATGCCGAATCTAGTAGGTCACGAGATCCAAGGCGATGCCGATTTTACTTTACAAACGTTCAGCCCGCTCATTTCATACGGATGCAGGTAAATGCCGAAGCAGCAAAACGTGCTTTCTTTGCATTATCGCAATAATATATTTGGAAGCGTTTCCTTTATTTTATAAAAATAAAATAAATTTAACAGAATGATTTTTTTTCACAAACTTTGTATACGGAACACACACTATCGGCCTTTCAGTCTTTATATCAGTTGTGATTTTATATTAGACGAGATACATTTTTAAATAATACATCTTTGAAACTTTGAATTGTTTAAAAAATTATAATTTTAAAAATAAGAACCATATATAATTTTTGCATTTGTGATTTGTTGTAGCGCGCAATTGCATCTGTTTCTGTGTTCGGTGTACGCCCCAATGTGTACCGAGAAGGTCCCTGCACCTATCGGTCCCTGCCGAGGTCTGTGCGAACAAGTGCGGGCTCGCTGTTTCCCGGTTCTTCAGGGATTCGGCTTTCCCTGGCCCTCCGCGTTAAATTGTTCCAAGTTCCCACCGGAAAACAATCACCAACACATGTGCATGGAGGGACCAGGCGAACCAGGACCGGCTAATCCAATCCAGGTATTTAACGATGGTTCAGCTGACGATTACGAGTTGTTATGCTGACTAAATATCGTCGCCTATCTAGGCGGTGAGCACCAGCAATGGACCTTGGGGCTGCTCCTGGTACGCCAAATCTGGATTGTACATTTTCCTGAATCGCTCTGGAAGATGCGCCGCCGCTTGCGATGCCGATATCCTTTGGTCCCAGAAGGACAAGAAGCTCGCGGAGGCTTGGATGGCCGTATTTGCGACCGTGTGCCTCGTCTCCGTCGCGATTGCTGTCCTGACACTTTTGAAACCGCGCAAACGGCCTATACTGACCACTTCCGCAGGTAAGAATCTTTCGCAAAGTGAAACCACATTTCCTTGTGAAATTGCGGGAGAGCCGCAATGTTCCGATATGTTCGAATTTCCGTCGTTAACTTTGAATTTCTCGAATTGAGTCTTGTAATCTCGACAACTTTAAATATTAAATATTATTCGTTTGATCGATTCTGCGATTGCCGAACACTTAAATTAAATTTAAATTCTCAAAGACATGAAGACATTAAATGACATTAAAGGTAATATTTGCTTACAGAGCGTGCTATAGTCTTCTTGACGATTTGTCATGCGGCAGTCGCAATTGGCTACGTGATTCGATTGGCTGCCGGCCGGCTAAACGTCGCTTGCACCCCCGCGATTCCGTTACATCCGCAGGACCAAGCTGTCTTGGTCCAACAACAGCAGCAACAGCAACAGCAGCAACAGTACCTAACGCAAGACGGCCTGGCTAATCCGTATTGCGCCGTCGTTTTTTTGCTACTCTATTATTTTGGAAACGCAGCGATTGTTTGGTGAGTTTGTGCATTTCTTTCGCATCATTTCAAGATGATTAATGATTGTAAACTACCGTCTAGGCTATACTTCCCTGAAATCTTTTAGTTTATCATGTATTTATTAACAACGCAGGATGAGATGGAGTATTTTAGCGTTGATCCAATTTCGTTTAGTGAAAAAAGAATTTCAACAAGTTTTGTTTATCGCTATTACTAAATTTTAATTACGCACAGGTGCGAGAACCAAATGATATTCGCGTAACATGTTTCAAAGTTGTCGGGTGTTGCAGAACGCCTTGTTGCACTCGTCTCGCTGCGGCGAGACTGCATCGTCCGAGGTAGGGATAACAATCTGGCAACAGTGTTGACTCCCCTCGTGCCGCTAACGAGCCTCTGACTCCCATCTCGTCCCATCCCATCTCATCCCGTTTATACTGAGAGGCTCATCTTAACGCGTCTAACGGGTGGCATAAGCAAAAAATTATCCGTTCCCCGTATTTGTTCTGATAATCCAATGTTACATCGTGTCGAATAAGAGTAAACTACACTTACCCTCGAAAGTTTCAATGCGTCTTATAGAAAATATATTTTTAACGCAATATAAACGTATTTTTAAATTAAAACTATAGAATTTTACGATGCGCAAAGAGATATTGCGATTTTTTTAAAAATATCAATACTCGTGTTAAGAAGGGAAAGCTTTGTAAATAATTATTCTTCTATTCTTGTTTTTATGAAATTTTTAGTAGTATCCGCATGTTCGATTTTACAGTCTTTAAATTTTTCAGTATCTAAATTAGAAATTATTGAGGTACATCTATAGCCTTGCAGATTTTCATTTCATATATTTTTCAAAATCTTAATTGCATTCATAAGTCTTTTAGTTGTTGGATAAACGAGGATCACCCGGTATATGAGGTGGGTCGGAGAGGAACCTTGTTGCCAGATATGCATGGAGTCAATGGCATTCCATCTTAGAGAAAGCAAGTTGCTTGAGAAGGAGAAAGAAAGTACGCGAAAAGCAGAACGAGAGAGAGAAAGAGAGACGGGAAGGTGGAAGATGGACGAAACGACGCTTCGGACAAAAACAAGATGATTCACATATTCACATATATGAATACCATTTGTGGTTGCAATCGTGCAAACGAGTTTGCAACAAAATCGATCGTCTTATCATGGATTTCAAACTTATTTAAATTTTATATTTTACTGTAAATTCAACTGTATAAATTTTGAAAATTCGTTTTACGTATTTCTTGATCTTTATTTCGATTTCAGATTTCACGTAGTTTATCAATTTTGAAATTCGTACATTTTCGGGCTCAAAGTTTTTCATGAAAAGCGTCAAGTTTTAAATAAAAAATCGGTTACCTATCGCGAAGATCCGACCCTGAGAACTCGGAGCCCGAATACTTTTGCGCGCCGTGGTGTAGCAAACTCTGTAGCGTATGGCCATAATTTACATCGAAAGAGCCGATAAACATCGCGCCCTACGGACACGAAACCACGAAGCCGCGCATGCACCCATAGGGTCCTAGTCATGCATTGTCCTGTTTCGCCTTCCACCGTCTCTCTTTTCACGTTAATCTCGCAGCGTGTGTCAAGTTTATGCAAAAAACGATGATTTCAGACTCTTGAAATTTCAAGGATAAAAGAGAAATTGTCAAATTCTCAAATTTGTAAGCTCTATCTTTATTAGAATTGCATCGAGAATTCATGCATTAGTGAAAAAAATTCTTAAATTCTTTTCTTTTTACTTATATATCTATACTCCCGACAGTTGCAAGAATCAATTGTTAATGAAATATTACACACACACAAATTTTTAGATTCTTAAATGCAAAAAGATTATCAAATTCAAGTGACTCTTATATATTGACTCACAATCAGTCTCTTGAAATCTTCCGTCCCCAAGAAATCAAATCGATAATCGGCAATGCTACGCCATTGACAGAGAGGATCGTACGGCCCCATGGTGGTAGGTAATCCGGCAGTTTCGTGTTTCCGTTTCTCTCTTTTCTCTCCCTTCTTCGTTCTTCTCCTCTGCCCTCTCTTACCCCCCGCCCTTTGCTCCAAGAGTTTGACGGCCGTCTCAAGAACGAGGGAAAAAGGACAAGTCGAAAGAAGAGCTCGAGGAAAGAGCTGATCCATCATCTCTCTCTCGGTGCCCAACCCGGGCCTTAAGCTTAAGGACCCGGATCCGAGAATTTCTCGATAATTTATCCAAGATAAGAGCTCCACCAACGACTATCCAGTGAGGGAACGCGGCGGGGCCATCGGGGCCCCGATAACAAGCCGCTAGCGTTATCTAGCGTATTCGTCCATTTCGAGGGAGACGAAATGATGCGACACACACCGCGTTTTTTTATAATATAAATACGACGATCTAAAGCATACTTTAGAGTAGACGATCTATAATTTGAATAAAAAATCGGAATAGGATTCCATTTATAACTTCACGTTTTTTAAATTTCATAATTTTTTTACTACACGACATATAAAATTAAGTAAAATTTTGTTACGAATTATACGATCGACTAAAGTTGCTTTAATACACAAAATTAGTCGCGAGAGCTTATACGCGTTTCGACAGACTGCAATTTTTTTCTCTTTGAGCGATATATGTATCTCGAAGAGCATGCGATTTATATTTGCGATTTACACGCGATTTAACTTATCTGTTATACGTTCGCGAGAAAATGTTTTGGCCGTTGTTTACTGTCATCGCAATAAGATGCAGAAATTTGTTGCAGTTATTCGAAAATACACGCAACTTGATCGAATCGATTTTGCAGCGGACGTAAATCACGTACTATAATACGTAAGCTGTTCCGATGAGCGATCGAGCGAACGTCCAACGACGTCAACTTTTCCAAATTCATCGCGAGAGAAGATCGAACAAGTCGGAGAGAATGAGAAGAAGACGAAGACGAAGCGGAGTAGGAACGGGAAGGAACGCGAGAGAGAAGCATCGTCGTGTATAGGGATCCCGCGGGGTATATAATCAGCGAGATGAGATGAGAGGGGCACTAGCTACCTCTTGTTTGTTTTGTTAGTTAGCGAGTCGTTAGGTAGTCTCTCCTCTCTGCCCTCTTCCCGCGTCGGAGTTCGAGTTGCACGGAAACTGCGAGTGGTCGACCACCCAGCCATGTAGCAGTCGTGGCAACGGTTACGAGAAAGAGAGAAGAATCTCGTGCCACGACTAATCTCGGTCTTATTACGCATACTTTGATGAGATCAAGCTCGCGTTATTTCTTATTAATTGTGCCTGCATCGCAATCGATGTCGCTAGGTCGGAGACGTTGCGCAAATTCGTTCTCTTTTCTTTTTTCTACTCTCTTTCTCTTCCTCTCCGCCCGCCCTCTCTACACTTTTTTTTTTTTTTTAGTAGGTGATTTTCGCCTCATTCGGTGTAGACCGTGATTCGCGAAGCGCGTGATCGCATCCCACAAAGGGTTAACGTCCCTTTAGATTTTTTCTTTCCCTTTCCCTTTTTATCAACGTTCCACGAGCGCAATCACGTCGTGTGCATCGCGTCACTCCATTCATCACCGCGCGACTGGAATTCGCGTCGGGCGAGTTTTTACTTTTCCACACGATAAATTCGGAAAGAAATTAGCGAATCTACCCAATCCCCTTAGCTCGGTCGCGCTAATCCAATCCCTCAATTTCAAACTCGGCTGCCTCACGACGAGTCCTTCGATGGAGATATCAAATTCAATTCTTTCTCGAAACCTTTTTCGCACTTCGTATCTTTCGTAAGAGAGCAATAATATCTGCAGGAGAACTGCATTATTTATAAAGATAGATTTATTAAAAAAGATGAATCGTTATTCTTTGTTACATTCTCCAACGTGTTACGGCAAAGGTGCGAAGACTATATACCTGTTGGTAGGATAGCTGTGGATCGTGTAGATGCGCGCCAAGAGACACGGCTACCGTTGTTCACTCGGTAAATACTAGCGGCGGCAAACACTCGAGGAGGGGTTGACTGTCTTACGAGATGAGACTTTCGGTAGCCGATGCTGATTACCTGCACGAGATTCAATATATTTTTAAAGAAAATTTATTCTTTAATAAATAGATACGAGATTTCTTTTTTATATTGTCGTTATTACTTCTCTCGATTAATTTTCTAACGTCGCGTCAATCGTTCGTTAATATCAAATTCTAGATACTGGCGCTAATCGTCGCTTATTTCAATTTCAGATGATTAGACGAGAGAGATATTACGTTTGCTAAACGGGAACTAAACGGGAATGATTTCGCGCGACGAGTGATTTCTCGGTGACGATGCGACGCCGACGCCGGCGCCGAATCCGTGCAAAGAATCGCTTCGAGAGCAACGAATCGAAATTGAGCGACTCGCTGAGAACCGTTTCGAAGCCTGGAACGAACAATGGTCCAGCGGTGCGTGCTGGTCTCGCGTGAGACAGAACGCGCGCCTTTCTTCGTCTCCTCGCACTTCTCGCAGCAGTGCTGCAGCATCGCCGTCGTGCACACGCACGTGCAACGTACAACTCAGCATCGCACCGCCTGTAATCCATTCTCCCTCCGGCAACCAGTTCGCCGAGAGAGCGAAGAGGTTGCGGTGAAAAGCCGACTAATTAATCACGCGAGTCTCTCTCTCTTCGACAAGATCGAAAAGCAGCGCGAACAGGTCAAACGAGGCGCAAACACTTACTTCGACCGCCTCGCGTCACTCCATCTCGCTCTCATGCTCGCCTTCTTCTACCTCTCTCGCCTAGCCGCCTTCTCGACTCCTCGACTCGGCTCCTTCTTCTTTTATTTATTCGAACTGCAAACTCGCAGGGCCGTACAATCGATTCGAAGAAGCTCCTGAAACGTGATTGAGAATTCCACGTTCGTCAACGAGCTTTACGACTCTAATTTGCATCCTGCGAAGAGATGCATCTTACGTTCTGTTCTGCATCCCCTCATTACAATTTTAAATTTTAATGTACTTTCGATATTTTAATTTTCAAAATTGTAAAATCTAATCTGACTGCCAATCGTGAGAGTAATCTACTGTATGAATATAAACGTGTAAAATCTCTTTATGCTATTCGATACGATTTGGACCGCAGGTGGGTCGTGATATGCGCGTGGTGGTGCATAATGGCCAGAAAATGGACGAGAACGGCTGGCAACTACAAGGAGGATAGTTTCGGACCACAACAGGGATGCTCAACCGTCGCCGCTGTCGCGGCCTGGGGCCTTCCTGCTGCACACACTATCGCCGTGCTAGTCACGAGGGATGTCGATGCCGACGAGTTGACCGGTAAGAAGGTTGTCCTGTTAGATTTAGTTACATACCCTCAAAGGAATTTTACGAAATCGTAAACTAGCGAGAAGCTTACATTTTCCTCGCGCTCTCTAATGTCTTCATTCGCGCACGTGGACGTTGACTTTCAAACTGACGGATCGTTGGATCTTTTGGCCTATGCAAGGCCAACGCGCGATATTAAAACTCGCGTTGGTCAGCCTCTAAGAAGAATGCCCGGAGCGGTTTTACGGCCACGCCTCGTTATACCGTTTGTTTTATGAGGTTGCGCCATTGGCGTAGTTGGATCCTCAAGATTCGCGATTCATTGTCCTTTTCTAGGTCTTCAATAATTGCTTTTTTTATCCCCATCTCTATGTCTATGTCTATCTTCATCTGCTCTTGCCACACTCCCTTCATCTTAATTCGAGTAGTGGCCAGTTGAGGCTATTTTATGCTAATACACGCATCGCTCTCTCGCGTTTATGTTCCCGATAAGTTATGCTCGAGAACGACCAGCCGAGATTAGCATCTTTGAATTAAACGACCGGTTCAGAGCGTAGCGACACAACCTTTGATTATTCGTATAATCATTATATTTACTCTCTTGAATGTGTAAATACGGATAATACAAATAAATACACCACAAATTTACCTTAATATTATTTTTAATTGCTCGAAATCATTTCACGCATTTACGATTACTGAAATTTCTCGCAGTTGTTTCGCACTCGATGTTTTAATTTTCTCTTGTTTCGTTCGTAGGCAATAGAGAAAAACATCAAATTACGGATACGTCGATCCAAATGATTCGTGGATAGTCGCGGAAGGAACGTCAGTGATGCGCTCCACGCATCGGACTTGTCGCATTCTTCCTCACGAGATTTGAAAATTTTCTCGGCACGTGAGAAGCAAGAAATTGAAATTCTTCACGCTCGCGTTTTCGTTACGCACGCATTATTTTGCAGAAATTTAAATTTACATTGCGAATTATTAAATACTTATATCGAAAAATGCGCTCGGAAAAAGTTATTCAGAGGTTTTTTAAACGATCAAACACCTTTACGGTGACAATAGCCAAAGATGAGCGATATCTACGAAAATCCGCGAGGCGCGCGACGCGAGAAAACATTTGTATCCGCGTACTCTCGTAATATGCAATCGGGTCAATTTGTATTATATTTCGAGAAGTTATAGAATTATCCGCGCGGACGCATAAAAAAACCAAACGCGGGTCTGGGTAATCGAATTCCTTTCTCCATCTCTCTTCTAGAGGGCAACATTCAATGCAAATATCTTCAAACTCGCCTAGCAACTTGTCACTGTCTATCGATAGGATAGAACCAAAACTACTTCGAACCTTTGCGTGCGCATAAGAAATTTTTATCCAGATTCCTTTTATACACTTCTTATTGCTAGTCTTGTACACAATCTTGTCTACTTGAGTAAAATTTAATTTTTAATTTTCCTAAAAACACAAATTTGATTATTGCTTGATTGCATTGTACAACAAATAACGGAACGTTCCACAATTACAATTTTTATTTAAAATTATCTATATTTCTTATCAGATCTCAAGCTGTGTGTGTGTGATATTCTTTTTGATTTCTTCCGTTTTGCGAGACTCCGTGTATATGTATACTCCGTAAACATTCTAGAAAATATTTCGCAGCAAAGTATTATAATTTTTTGTTGCAGCGAGTTGTTTCGTCGGCCAGCAAAACGCGCATTCCCTGCTCGTGTTAGTGCTGGCGCCGCAATTTATCTACCTATCGTTCGGCGCAACGTTCCTTTTAGTTGGTTTGGCGACGTTGATGTTACCGCGACGGCCAGCGGTGACACCGACGTCGACGTCGATGTCGGCGTCGTCGTCCTCGTCGACGGCGGCGGCGGCGGCGGCGGCGGCGGTTTTAACGGCGCTGACGGCGTCCCACGCGAATCCGTTGATGCGGCCGCAGCGTGAGATCCCCGGCAAATCGTCCCCAGCCGAGATTCACCGGCGGCAGAAGCAGCTGTTGACTCGCGTCGGCATATTCGGCTGCCTCTACGCCATCCTGATAATCTGCCTCACCAGCACAACTTTCTACGAATGGTGGGGAAGAGAGACGTGGCTTCGAGCACCGGAACCGTCAACGGTGCCGCGCGTACCCGCTCGACCTCTCTTGCAGTTTTTCGTCCTACGATTAGTGGTGACCCTTGGTGCCGGCGTTGTGGCCGCCGCGTGGATCTGGTGGCCGGAAGTTACGAGCGCGTGCCGTAAGCTGCCGCACTGCAAGCAACCACCGCATAAATGCCATCCGGTGCCCGTCGTGCACTGTTACAACCCTGGCACCGCCAGCAACCCCATACCTCATCAGATTCATCATCTCGCTCATCTGACGCCGCCGCAACATCCTCTGTTGCATCAGCACGCAACGTTAGCGAATTCGCAGATGCCACATAGGAACCATAAGAAGCATCGGAAACACCGGAAGCATTATCATTCCGGTAGCGAAACGCAAGTTTGAACGCGTCGCATAGCGTATATACGTATATACATATATATATATATATGTTACAGTTCGTTATTCGTTCGGAGTGCCTTATCTTAGTATCTTGGATATGACACTATGATAGGGCACTATGATATTTATAATCTCCGATTTTATATTTGACATCAGCTTAAGTCTAAGTTTAAATAGTCTTAAAATTCCATCCAACGCGATAACATCGTCATCTAGACATAATATTTGAAACGATCTTAAATGTAAGCTCGGACTGCGAATACTGCCCATAAAAAACGATACAATGTAATATCCTTAATTGTATATTTGCCTGCCAATTTTTCCCACGTATAATAATAACGTAAAATCATTCATTTTTTGATTAAGTTATTTAGCGTCTTAATGTCATCATTCATTCGTCATTTGACAATTATTAATTAACATACGTACGTGTCGCTTTTTCGTCCCATAGTTGTAATACAATACGTAAATTTCGTGGCATTTTTCAAGTTTGTAAATCGCGTGCCAAAGTCCCGTAGAACTTAATTTTAAAAGGATATAACATTGAATTTTTAATCGCGTCGCTAGACAAGTAAAATTAACGTCTTGCTTTCGTTCTTTTTAATTGATAGATTTATAGGAAGATGTTTATGTATTCCATTGTGTATCATATATCGTTGTCGTGATAACATACGGCAGCGTATGTCTTCTGTATACGCCATTGAATTTAACCCGCATGTCCAAATATTCGTGCAGGGGACGAGAGAACGATGAGTGCTAAATTTAAACCTTGAAGAATAAGCCGACGAGGGGAAGAATGTGCGTCCGTTTCGATCTCGGTTTAAACTCGTGCAACGCCATAATCGCGCGTAAATGCACATGTACTGATGTATGTACATAAATGATAAAATATGCAGCATATAATTATAGAACGATCGCACCTTGATTCTGTGATGTATAAATTTCTAGCGGTGCGATTTCTTATATGCAAGTATGCAACTTGAACCTTTATCAGAAAATAAATTTATATTAATTTGTAAGATATCGATTTTTCTTCATATATTTATTAAAACATCCTTTTTTTTATTCCTTTGTAAATGGATATATATAAATGAGTTTGGATTTTATAAAAAATATGAGAAATAAACATGCACACATATTTGCATGATTTAGTGTGGTACATATATACGTAAGAGATTATTTAAAATCATCATTAACACAATACATAATACAGATATATTATAAAGTACATATATATACTAGTTTCTATTAAAATAATTCACTGTACAACAGAATAACGACAGATTATTGTCTAGCCAATTATTTTAGGTTATGTTAAATGTTTGGTTATGTTACAAGAGGCTCTGCTGAGGTTCAGTAGTGAGTAGAGTGCAATGTGAGTAAAGTCAGGTAAGCAGAAGCTGAACCAGAGCTGGCAATTAAGAACAATAAGTGTGTATATTTATATTATGTATCAAAATGAATGTAAATCTATATTGAAAAATATGATGATATGAAGAAGATTATTGTATTTATTTTTACAGAGATAAAACAGATTTAATAAAAATTGAGGTTATGTAGATAGTCGTGAGACGAGGGATAAAACTACTTGAAAAATAACATCGAATATTATTAAAAAAAAAAAAGGAACAACTTGAACATCTTATATTGACAAAATTGATGAAAGAGACATGGATGCTAATTTTGACGAACTTTCGCACGACACAAACATAATTGCCAAACTGAAACAGTTCAGTGAAGCGGCCTTCAAAATCCAGGATATGGTGGAAGTGATTAGCGATCCTTCGTTATTCGATAAACTTTCCAATACAGATAAAATTAAATATAACTTGCTGCTATCTTACAGTCTTAATAGTTTGTTTTGGATGTACCTGAGAGCCGAAGGTATGCGAGGAGTGTAATTTTCAAGTTATCAGTTAGATATAGTTAATTTACATATGCATTGATTATTAAATTGTTATAAATTTTAGGGATCGATCCATCGAATCACCGAATCAGATTAGAAAACGAGAGATTGAAGAAGGCGATGGTACGAGCGAAACAAATCAATGATAAAAATACACTTATGCCACGCATCAACAAAGATGCTGCCAAGAGATTTATGAGGAACAGCTTGTGGGAATTGAACAAAAAAAAGCACAAGAGTATGAAGAAAGAAATTGACAAGTCTGAAGAATCGTCACCTACATAAATTCTATACTGTGCATTATATGTTAAAATAGGATAAAATCTAATCGTTCCCCACATGTACGCCTTTTCCATGTTTTTTACTTGAGTAATTCGAGATTTTATTTTCATTGATATTATGTAATTATTAAAGAGACAAGATTCAAGATTCTCATCTTTTCTACATTCGATTGGCTGTGTTTTTTATTGTAATCGCGTGATATTTTATTGCTTCATTTATGAGCTTGAGATAGTCTACGTCTACAGTGTCTACCAGACAACATGAACGTGTATTGGCGTGGAACAATTTTCTGTCATTTCATTTCATCATTCGTATCATGTGTATCGTATACATCGTAACTCAGATTACCCGCTCGCTGGTCGCGGGGTATCGGTTAGGTTCCAACCTTCATTGTGCGAGGCGCGCGGGTGCGAGCGACGCCGACGCGAGTGTCGCGACAGAGAGAAGCGTGAGAGCGGCCACGC